GAACCGCTTCCTAATGTCATGCGTTTGGGTTTTTTCTTTCTGTACCCATTAATATGGTGAATTACATTGCTGATTTTCAAATATTGATCCAGCCATGCATCCCTGAAATGAAACCCACTTTATCAAGGTGTTTAATTATTTTTGATAGTGCTGAAATATATTAATTAATATTTTAAGAATTTTTGTGTGTATATTCATGAGCATATTGGTTTGTAGTTTTTAATTTGGTACTGTCTTTTACTTTGATATCAGGATAATACTAGCTTCATAAAATGAATTGGGAAGTGTTTTATTTTATGAAAAAGCCACAAGAATTGTTCTTGATTCTTCTTTACATGTTTGGTACATTTTCCCAGTAACACCATTTGGTCTGGAAAGGGTTTTTTGTTTGTTTGTTTGTTTTTAATTGCTAATTATATTTCCATACAAGTTGTAGCATTCTTGAAATTATCTGCTTCATATTGGATGACTTCTAGTAATTTGTGTTTTATGAAAAATAGGTCATCTAGTTAATTTTAACTAATTTTATTTAATGAATATTTAGGCTCATCGATAATATTTTATTTTTGTTCTTCGGTTTCTGTGGGGTCTGTATTCCTTCTTGCTGATAACATAAAATATCTGAGTCAGGTTGACGTAAGAGTATAGAGGTTTATTCAAGTCATAGTTTGGAGGTGCAAGGGCCAGGATCATGCCTGGGGGTTCTTGCAAAGGAGTCTCACTTCACAAGGGCCGGAGCTGAACAGAATGTGTCCAGCAGAGTCTCTGGTCTGTCCTCACTTCCTCTGTTCATAGACCCACAGAACTCACATAAAAGGGCCCTGCCCCAAGCACCCATTTCCACACCACAATTGATCAAAACTTCATACTCTTAATCCCTTTACAATGACTCAACATATGAATTAGGGGGGTGTGTGTGTTACATATTCAAACTATAGCAATTGGTATGATCTGTTATATATGTAGTTATAATAGGTGTAGCATTTATGTTTTCTTTGTTAGATTTGATAGGTTTTGTCCATCTTATTGATCTTGTCAAAGAGCCAGGTTTATTTCACTAGTTTTATTTATTGTTTTCTGTTTCAAATTTTATTGATTTATGTCCTCTTTATATCTTCTTTCTTTATTTGAATTTATGATACTGTACTTTTTCTAAGTGTTTAAGTGGAGAATACAGAGTATTGATATTTTTTTTTACTTTTCCTCTTTTCTAATATGTCCATGTAATCCTATAAATATTGCTTTCAACACTGCTTTTTACATTCATTTTATTTAATTCAATGCATTTTTATGTTTTTGTTGAGTATTTTACTTAATCCCTGTATTATTTAGAAGTATATTGTTCGATCCTGGGAAGATTCTACCATGAAATCTACTAATAATCTCACGAAAACTCTTTGGCATATAGTAAGTCTAATTTCTATTGATGGATTCAAAATTCTTCATTTGTGAGTTTCAACAGTTTGTTTAAAATGTGTCTCCATTTATATAGCTGTTTGGATTTGTCGGAGTTCTCCTAGCTTCTTGAATCTGTGTTTTTTCCTTTTGTCAGGTTTTGAAGGTTTTTAACCATTATTTCTTCATACAAATGCCCTTTTTTCTCCTTCTTTTGCCCCATAAAGCCCATGTTGTTTGTTTGAAGGGACTCATGCATCCCCTCTTTGCTTCTTTTATTTTTTTTCTTATTGCTCATCTGACATAATAATTTTCCAGACCCTGTCTTCTAGTTTGCTATCCATTCTTCTGCATGGTTAAGCCTGCTCTTAAACCTCTGTACTGAATTTTTAAATTCAGTTACTATATTCTTTGGTTCTCTGTTTTTGTTTTATGCTTCTTTATAGATTTAATCCTTCTTTTTGACATTACCCATTTGTTTCTGATATTTTACCTGTGATTTTATTTATTTGTCTGTTCTGCCTCAGTTCATTGAATATTCTTGTGATGGTCACTTAAATTATTTATCTCATAATTCATCTGTCTCCATTTCTTCTGGGTTAGTTTCAGGAATTTAAATTTCTGTTCCTTTGGGCTTTCTTTTTCTTTTTTCTTCGTATGACTTACCATCTTTTGTTGGACCTTCAGAATTCAAAAAAAAAAAAAAAAAGAAAAGAAAAAAACCAACAATCTGCTATGCCTCCTATTTTTTATGAAAGGGCTTTACACATGGAGGCTCTTAATCTGTCAGTTCCCTGTACCATTTTAGAGAGACTTTGATGCCTTTTCTGCATCTTCTTTGGGGTTTTCCATGTAAGTGTAAGCTCCTAGTTGGAATAGGTCTATACTCAGGAGCCACCCCCTCCTAGTGGCTATCTGTGGTAATGCAGTTCCTTTGGTTTTTGACACAGGCATGCTATGGATGCTCCCCCTAACATCTGTCTGGGGTACTGCAGACGTTGTAGTGAAGATCAAACCTTCCTAATGGCTTTTACTTTCAGTAAGCCCCTCCTCACTTAATGACTGACCACCTGTCTGAGGAACGCTTGGACTTATGACCAGGTCAGCGTGGGGAATCCCCTTCCACCTTCTCTGTGAATCTAGGGGATCCCTTTTCCTAGTCTTTGTCTGGTTTAAACACAGCATTCACTCTATGAAACATTTGCAATCATGTAAGAGTATGTGTTTTGTGTATACTTTTTGGACCTTCAGAATTCAAAAAAAAAAAAAAAAGAAAAGAAAAAAACCAACAATCTGCTATGCCTCCTATTTTTTATGAAAGGGCTTTACACATGGAGGCTCTTAATCTGTCAGTTCCCTGTACCATTTTAGAGAGACTTTGATGCCTTTTCTGCATCTTCTTTGGGGTTTTCCATGTAAGTGTAAGCTCCTAGTTGGAATAGGTCTATACTCAGGAGCCACCCCCTCCTAGTGGCTATCTGTGGTAATGCAGTTCCTTTGGTTTTTGACACAGGCATGCTATGGATGCTCCCCCTAACATCTGTCTGGGGTACTGCAGACGTTGTAGTGAAGATCAAACCTTCCTAATGGCTTTTACTTTCAGTAAGCCCCTCCTCACTTAATGACTGACCACCTGTCTGAGGAACGCTTGGACTTATGACCAGGTCAGCGTGGGGAATCCCCTTCCACCTTCTCTGTGAATCTAGGGGATCCCTTTTCCTAGTCTTTGTCTGGTTTAAACACAGCATTCACTCTATGAAACATTTGCAATCATGTAAGAGTATGTGTTTTGTGTATACTTTTGTACTTTTTTGGGCACCCAGAGTAGTATTCAGAATGAATAAAAACAGCAACATTGGATTTATGTTATTCTGTTGTGGTGTGCCCTGTTGCTTTCTGCCATATGCCTAATTTGCTTTTTGTGTAGCTAGAATTACATTGTTCTAGTGTGGTGTTGCGTGGTGGCCATTGAAATATACATACCCTATGGCACCAGAACAAGGCATCTGCCTCGATGTTCTTCACTTATCAACCAATTCGTTTCATGACCTGGTCATAGGCGTGGGACTCCATCATTAAGGGAGGAGTACCTGTACCCCTACCCCACACTTATTCCTGGCAGTGTCTGTGCAGGGGGGCACTAACCACTTTCTTATAAAACTCCCCTGAAAATTCCTTTCTCTTTCCTGGATTGGGGAATTATCACCCAATCATACTGTACCCTTTTAGGGGAAGGGGCGATAGTGAATAAATGCCACACATTTTCTGACCTCACTCATTGAGGTTTTCTTTGGTACATATCCTCTGGAGTGCACGAAGCTCTTAACTGGTTTCTAGACTCCTCAAAGACAGTTGATTCTTCTATCATTGTCACAGTTTTATGTTTTCCTCTACATTGCTAAGAGCAGTGAGTATGAGATGTACCTTTTAAACACATTTTTAAGGGCCCAGTTCATTACCGTTGGCCATAAGTACAAGGTGGTACTGTCTCTAGAGCTTATTCATCTTGTCCAACTGACACTATGCTCATTGATTAGTCACTCCTCACTTCTCCCGTCCCCAGGCCCTGGGAATAACTTTGATTCTATGAATTTGGCTATTTTAGATAACTCATGTTAGTAGAGAATGCAATATTTGTCTTTCCATAGCTGGTTCATTCATTTTGATTAAAAATGTATGTGTATAAATAGAAGCATTATTGCTTTAATAATGCTACAACTATATTTTTTTAAAACGTAGTTTTCAGAAGATCATTTGTGCATATTACATTGACCCCACTATTCCTAAATGTATTAAGATATGAAATAATTACTATTCTGAATAATACATTGTAAAGAATATGCTTGCTCATTTTTAACGGACTAAGTCTATTTTAGTAACTTTGGTAAAAAATACTGTTTTATTTGATATATTTCTAACTTACAAAATTATCTATATTGATTTTTTTTTCTTTTAGTTGACTTATGCCATTACAATTGATGGAAAACCATACACTCTGCATCTCAGAAAACGGTAAGATTTTTTTTTCCTTCTGAGAAAAAAAATGAATCTTTAACTTAGCTTTTACTAGCTTAAAGTGTTAGTACAGTAGTATTTAAATTCAGGAATGCAGCATAATGTAGACTTGTTTAATCAACCTGGTTTTTGAAACTTATTGACTACAAGGTCTTGAATATTAGATCTATGAGTTTCTTGCATTTTAATTTTTACCTTGGTATTTCAAATGAAGAAATATACTACATATATATCCAGTAGAGTAAGTTATTAAATCCTAGAAATGTCCTCTAGTGGAACATTTAATTAGGACATCCTAATTGTATAGTATATTAATTATATATATTTAAATAACTTTTTTGAATATATAATGTAAAATAAAAAAATTCACTGACACATGCAATTCAAGCATTTTAATGACTTTATTCAGTGCTGCAGCCACCAGCTGTCTGTCAGGGTCAGAACCTTTCTTTTCCTCATAGACGAGGCTTCCTGTCACTTCACAGTTGATGTCAGCTCTCATCTACAACTCAGACAGCAATCAATATAGTTTCTGTATCCTGATACGCATTTTTCAACACTTGATTCAAATCGAATGAATAGAATTTTCTTCATGATCTTTGAAAATATGTATTTATAATAATTGTCTCTTGTCTGCCTACATGTTTGTCAGTGAAGAAGGCCAGACGAAATACTATACTCACTTTATTCCTGACTGACTACTTAATTAAGACTTACTAACCTCGTGTTGATCTAAGACCACAAATCTATAAGTGATTTCGATATGATCCTCAGTGACCCTTTGAATGCCCTGGTTGTTTCTTCGATCTCCATTTTTTATGACCACTTGACAGCATTTAGCATAGCTGCTTAGTATCCCCTCCATAAAATTCTTTTGTTCTTGCACGACACGGAGTCTTGGTCTTGGATGATTCCTAATATTGTAGCTACTCCTTCTGTCTTTCTGTCTGTCTTTCTGTCTCCGTACTTTCTTATTATTTTTCCTTTTTTCCAAATTCCACTAAGTCTCCAGTTGTAGAATAATTTACGATGTTGTTCTGGATATATTTTTTTTGTAGTTATATTTGTTAATCTGACCATTTCATTTAGACTCGTGGCTTCAGGTACCATCTATATGTAGATTTTTTTTCCAGACTACAGCTCTGCCCTTTCCCCCTTCTCTTTCTCTGTGTCTCCCTGGTCAGCTTCAAGTGAGTCACTTCACTGAATACTTATTTGATAACCAAGTGTTTACTAGAATTTCCATAGGTAACATGTCCACAATGCACTTCTGACTCCTTTTCTAAATTTATTTTTCCTCACAGTTCTCTCATTAATTGGCAACTCTACTCTTGTACTTTCTCAGAAAAAATAAGCTTTGGAGTAATCCTTGGCATCTCTCTCTTTTGTTTCCCTTCATAGGCAGTGGGTTTTTAAGTCCCGTGTATTATCTTTTCAAGTGATATCCAAATTAGACCTGCACCACTGCCATCTTATTTCAAGCTGCCATGATGTCCTGTCTGGCTGACTGTAACAGTCCTCTAACTGGTCTTCCTGCTTCTCCTCGTTTTCCCTGAAGGTTGTTCTCAACACAGCATTCAGTCTGATGCTGTGCCAATGCCCGCGTGGTACTATTAAGTCTGTTCTAGCTACTCCCCAGCCCTCTAATGACTCCTCTCTCTGTGACTGCGCCTTTTACAGCTGTCCTCACTGCACACTCTGCTCCAGGTACATTGCGTTCACTGTTCTTTGTCTACACCTTAGAGTCCTCGCATTTCATCCACACTCTTGAGAGGAACGACGTTTCTGTGGAAATGTGTGTGACTTGCCCTTCATGCCTTTAATCATCTAGTCAGTGAGCCCTTCTTTCTTTCTTTCTTTTTAAAAATTTGACAGTAAGCGAGAGTGTGCTTGATGGAGGATGAAGAAGAGGGAGAGGGAGGGTGGAGGGAGAGAGAGGAAGAGAGAAAGGAGAAAAATAACAAAGCACCCCTCCAGGGGGGTTGGTCATGCTGGAATCCCTTTTCTTTCATGTCTCTCCATTTTCTGGGCTTGAGGCACACATATACACACACACCTGCCATGTTTTTTAAACCACCAGATCCAGAACTTGAATCATGCCAATGGCCATGCGAGATCCATCTGCATTAACCACTGTGCTGCCAGCTGGCCCTCAGTGAGTCTTTCAATGCCACGCTTTCTAGTTTTTGCAACCAACCTCCCTGACCTGGGCCTTCCTAATTATTATCTAACAGGCTAAGAATACATATCTCTGCCTGTCTTGAAGATTAGAGATTTTATCCTTTATTCTAGTGCTTAGAAGAGGGTCTGTCAAATAGCAGATGTTCAGTAAATACCTGTCTAAACCGTACACAGTCCTGTACACAAACATCTGCTACAGAGGTGTCGTGAAGTCTGTTTCAGTGCTAAGAGAGCCTGAGACTGGGGCCAGCAGGTGGTGTGGTGGTTAGGGTGACTGGACTCCCACATGGCCGACCGTGAGTCGACTCTGGGACCTGGTGGCTTGCTCTCTCACTTTCCTTCTCTTTCTCTGTCTCTGTCTGGTCAACTTCAAAAAAATAAAAATAAAAATAATGCCAATGAATAATATTAAATTTAAAAAAGAAAAGAAGAAGGCCTGAGATGGGTATACCCCGTGCTGTAGTATTCAGGGAGAAGGATCCTGGGTGGCCAACTAAGGTTTGAATTCTGGACCCAGTGTCTTGAAAAACACATTGGATGTGTACCCTAACATGGGAAGGAGGGAGCAGGGAAGTGGGTTGCAGCATAATCAGCCCCTGGAGGGGGGTGCTTTCTCTTTCTCTCTCTCTCGCTCTGATGAACACATACACCCTCTGATAATTTAATTTAAAGAAAAATATAAGAAAATAAAAAAAAGAAAGAGAAAAAAAGAGAAAGAGGAAGAGAGAAAGAGAAAGAAAAGAAGCATCAAGCCTGTGTTTCCTGAAAGACCAGTTCTAGGATTTTCCATCAATAAATGGGATGTAACAGTTACTTTGTCACAGTAAAGCTACTCTTATTCCATCATGTTCTGTGATAACTATACACGTAACAATGTTGCTTTATTTTTTATATTTATAGTAAATTAATGACTCAAGATTTTGTATTTTTTTCTTAGCTCATTCTTAGCCCAGAACTTTTTAGTTTATACATATAATGAAACTGGATCTTTGTATTCTGAGTCTTCACATTTTAAGGTAAGAGTCAAATGTCTTAGACATTTAATATTATATGTTCTTTTGTTGTAATAGACATTACCATTATCACTAGGATATGTTGTTCCATGGTGACCATTTAATACAAATTATTTTTCATGTAACTTCACCTATAATATGACTGACTATTGTACATAAAAATGGCACATGACCCAGTTTCAGGAGACTACTCGTGGCACTTGGGTGGTGCAAATTAAAAATCTTTTTTTTTTTCCAAAGTTTATATGAATGATTCTGTGTAATTAACAATCTCATTATGGTCAAACCTGTTAAAGCAATGACTCTTCTGAAATGTTTGACCATAGATTTCTGTATTAGAAATGTGATAGCAGTGTGTTATGTACCTTTCTCTCCTGTTTTCCAGGTAAATTGCTATTACCAGGGGTACGCTGCAGAGCATCCCAGTTCAGTTGTGACACTCAGCGTCTGTTCTGGTCTCAGGTACCATCATTTTAGAGGACAAATACACACAGAAAACATGGGATATTCTTTAAAATGAAGCTTAGTGGCTAGCAGACACAACTCTGGGGAGATCTGAGAAAAATTCAAATCTGAACTTTTTTTTAAATGATGGCTCTTATTTATTTATTTGAATATTAATTCTTTTATGTATTTTTATATTAATACCTAGACTTAATTATCTGTTCAGATGAAATCAATCCAGAAACTCCTGAGTAGGAACATTGGCAGGGTACTGAGCAGAAAAAAAAAAAAAAAAGAGTTTCAGGAAAGAAGACATTAGAACATTTCCCCAAATATTATTGTTGTATTTTATATCGGGCATATTAAATAGTTCTGGAAAATGCCATTGATTAATTATTTAAATGTAATAGGTACATATAGAATGCTCTCAACTGAGTACCAGAAGTAAAACAACTGATTAGTAAGATCCATCAGAGGTAATATGCAAGTAAGTGATTTTAATCAGTGATGCTGGCGAATTTATGATAAGTTTATCAAAAAGAGAACGGTTCAGAAGAGAGGAAAAGGCTTTCTAACTCCTCTTTTGTTTTAGTTGCCACATTTCCAAAATGTAGTTATGGCAGCTCACATTCTCTGAGTGTGGTTCTTAGAGCTATCGGCATCTTCAGGTATTCACTCTACATGCATGCTTTCCTTTATGCTAAAGGGAAGGGAACTTATTTTTCCTTGGAATTATCAATAATACCTTGGTTCTGGAAAAACTTGTCTTTAATTATATACGTTGAATCAATGAGCTTTCAATCCCCAAGTTATGAAATACTCTTTACCATATTTTGTTCTTTAAAATATAAGCAAAACTAAAGTAGATGGGATGGCTGTTATTAATGGCGAATGGAAAAAAAAAGAAACAGTTTTAAAACATATTCTTTATTACTGTTTCTTAGTTCCAATACTTCAGATTATAGCTATAAAGTGACTATTTGCAGAATTTTTATAGTTATTTCCTTCTGAATACTCAGGGGATTTCTTCAGTTTGAAAATATCAGTTATGGAATTGAACCACTGGACTCTTCAGCAAGATTCGAGCACATAGTTTACCAAATGAAAAATTACCATCCAGATGTACCAATGTTCGCGGAAAATTACAGCCATATTTGGCACAAAGACCAGCCGTATAAAGTTCACTTAGGTGCACAGGTAACTGATGATTATGATGCTTCTCTATACTAGCAAATTACTTCCAGAGAATTTTTTTTTTCCAACAGGATGTGTGCACTCACCAGAGACAGAGAGCGAATGAGATATCACCTCCCCCAGGGGCATGGTCACACTGACATCCCTTCCCCTTGATTGTCTTTCCGGGACTTTGGACACATGTACATGTGTGGCATGATTTTCAAGTTGCCAGGCCTGGAAATCCTTCTGTATTTGGCCATGTGGGCCTTAACCACCATGGTACCTGCTGGCCCCTGTAGAATTTCTTAAATCGTGAAATAAAACTAATTAGCTGAAAAATAAGAATATGAACATTTATACTTTCTTCCTCTATCTTTAAATAAAACATTCAAATTCCATCTAAAATATCTGGATAATTATATTTCAAGCTTATTATTTTATGATATATTATATTTTTTCAAACAAAATGAGTATTATTGAAAAAGTTTTAAAATACATGATGAACAAAATAACTTAGTTTCAGTACAGTCATGAAATTGCTTTCAGTGGGGATGAGCAGATGGTGTAATGGCTATGTCGCTGGACTCCCATGTAGTAAGTATGGTTTGAGTCCCGGACCTGGTGACTTAAACTCACACCAGCCATGTGTGTGTGCATGCCCAAGATCCTAAGCAGAGAGTGGAGGAGAAGGGATTGTGACATAGCCATCCCCCCTGGGGGGGGTGATTTCTTGCTTTGTCTCTGTCTCTCTCTGTCTTTCTGGCGAGTGCACATGCCCTATAGCAAACACCTCTCAAAAAATTGCTGTCAACGGTTTTATATATAGTATTATATATTATCTGAACCTTTATTTTTTTATTCTGAAACAGCCAATCGTTTGTACATTACTCAACCCTCTTAATTTGCAAGTAGACTGGACGTAGCATTCTTGATTGTCAGTTTATTACGGCACTTGGACGATTTCAATCCTCCACCCTCTAGCCTTCATGGTCTCTGATGAAAAATCAGCTGTTTATTTTATTGAGGATTCCCTGTATGTGATGAGTCATTTCTCTGTCAGTGTTATCAAGATTCTTTATCTTTGCTTTATGACAGTTTGCTTGTGATGGGTCTGAGTGGATCTCTGAGTTGACTCTCGTTGGATTTCATAGAGCTTCTTAGATGTGTAAATGAATGTTTTTAACCAAATTTGCTAAGTGTGTGCTGATCGATTCTTTGAATATTGTTTCTGTCCCTTAATTTTTCTCTTCATCTTCTGGTACTTCTGGTACTTTATTGTGCATATGTTAAAATGCTTGAGAGCTTCCCACTGGTCTCATAAGCTCTGTTTATTTTTCTTTATTCTTTTTTTCCCCTCTTCTTCAGACTGTATAACTCAACTGATCTGTCATAAAGTTCACTAATTCTTCCATCTACTCAAATCTGTTTTTGTGTCTCCAGTGAGTATTTCATTTCAGTTATTGCATTTCTCAATTCTAGAATTTCTTTTTTTGTCCTTTCTACCCCTCTATTACCATTTCCTATTTAATAAGACTTCATTATAATATTTTCTGTATAATACTTTGCTTTAGTTGCTTATACATGATCATTTTTATTCTTTGAAATTTTTAAAAATAATTATTGGGCTGTCAGAAATGTCATGATTCATTTTTGTGTAGAAAAATACATTATGACTTTTCCAATGACCCGATAGCTTAATGTATTTTCTTGTAAGTCTAACTTCTTGTTTTGTTCAAAAATGGATCTATTGACTTGTTTTCTGCATATGGGACTTCTCATGTTTTTCTTTGTGTATCTCAGTATTTTGGAAAACTGAAACTGAATATTCCAGGTAATGCTGTGTGGAATTTTAGAAGTCAGGGTTTATCTGCCTCCCCATGACTTCTTGCTTTTGTTGTTCTTAGTTGCTGTTTACTTTATGGCTCTTCTGAGCTGGGTCTCTAAAGTCTGTGTTTGTTGTGTGTAGGCTCTGAAGTCACCTTTATTCTTTTTTTCCCCTCTTCTTCAGACTGTATAACTCAACTGATCTGTCATAAAGTTCACTAATTCTTCCATCTACTCAAATCTGTTTTTGTGTCTCCAGTGAGTATTTCATTTCAGTTATTGCATTTCTCAATTCTAGAATTTCTTTTTTTGTCCTTTCTACCCCTCTATTACCATTTCCTATTTAATAAGACTTCATTATAATATTTTCTGTATAATACTTTGCTTTAGTTGCTTATACATGATCATTTTTATTCTTTGAAATTTTTAAAAATAATTATTGGGCTGTCAGAAATGTCATGATTCATTTTTGTGTAGAAAAATACATTATGACTTTTCCAATGACCCGATAGCTTAATGTATTTTCTTGTAAGTCTAACTTCTTGTTTTGTTCAAAAATGGATCTATTGACTTGTTTTCTGCATATGGGACTTCTCATGTTTTTCTTTGTGTATCTCAGTATTTTGGAAAACTGAAACTGAATATTCCAGGTAATGCTGTGTGGAATTTTAGAAGTCAGGGTTTATCTGCCTCCCCATGACTTCTTGCTTTTGTTGTTCTTAGTTGCTGTTTACTTTATGACTCTTCTGAGCTGGGTCTCTAAAGTCTGTGTTTGTTGTGTGTAGGCTCTGAAGTCACTCGTGTTAGCTCAGTGGTGAGTCTGTGTGTGCACACTGGGGCGTGCCTTCTTCACTCAGGCGGTTAGCTATGGCTATGTGCTCAGCCCCACCTGTGTGTTCGGCCTTCTCGACTGTTCAGCATTTACCCTATCTTCCCACAGCCCCAGATAGACATTTTATTCTCTAGCTTTTCCTCCTAAGCTATCAGTCTCCTTATTGTTATTCACTGTACATAAAGTTAATAAACACGGCCATGATTATTTTCAACAAATGTTTTTTGGCAAAAACATTTTGATGCGGGCTGAGGTTTAATTTAAGTCAATTGTGGACAAGCCTGAGTGGGCCTTCTAGAAAGCACAGTATAGGTCCAATCATGGCAATTCTTTGGTAATGAAATTTTAAAGATGTTCTAGCCCCATTCTTTAATTAATTATGAGTTAATTAATAATTATTTTTCCGTCATGCCAGTGTGTTGGTTTTCACCACAAATAAGAGCCATTAGTTTCCAATCCATGGGTAAGGAGACTGAGGAAAATTCGCGTCCCACAAAGATCTCCGTCTAGAATGCTGCAAGCTTTTGGTTAATTTCCAGTTTTGAAAAATTGATTCTGAAAACTCTTGCCAGTTCTTTTGCTGGTTTTATGTAGATGCATATTTTAAGTTTCTCACTGTGATTTTCAATGATGTTATTTTATTTATGAATTTTATATGACATATTTATAATCTTTAAGATAACATGTTTTCTAATTTCCTTTGCTGTTCCTCCACAGCCTTGTAGGACATTGACAAATGCGCATATTTAGAGATTTTCTAGATATCCTTTTGATATTGAGTTTTAAATGATCTTCATATTCTGATAACATATTTCCACTTTAATCTGTATGTATCTCCATGTATTATTTAGTTGTTTATGTGTAAGTTCCTACAGATGTCTACTTAGATATTTGGATTCTTTGGAATTTCAATTTTTTGCATTTTTTTCTTGCAAATAATTTGTAGTTTATGTCTGTTACTTCAGCATGCTATTTGTGAGATAATGAAGAATGCAAATGAAAAATAAGTTATATGATTTTTCTCATAGTTGTTCAATAATTGGCAAAAGGTCTACATAAATAAGAAAAGTAATTGACAAATAGCTCTCATAGAAAAGGTCAAGTGAAGTTAAGCAATATTACTAAAAATGTATTTGGACTGATTCTCTCTTTTTTTTTTTTTTTTTTTTGGCTATAGGATACATGCACTCACCAGAGAGAGACAGAGAGTCTGAAAGAAAGAGAGAAAGTGAGAAATCACTTTCTTCCCCAGGATAGATGGCTGTGCTACCCTCCCTTCTCCCCCATTTCTCCCCTCTGTCAGGAGTGGGGGCATGCCTGCACGTGCACCAATGTGTTTCTCCAGCTGTTGGGTTCAGGACTCCACCCGCACAGTCAGCCTTGTGGGATCCAGTATTTTTTAGAAATATTTATTAAATTTTACTTATTATTGTTATTATTTAATATTGCCAGAGAGATACAGGGAGATGAAGAGAAAGAGAGAGAGAGAGAAAGAGAGAGAGAGAGAGAGGGAGAGAGAGGAAAATTGAGAAAGCAAGGCGCAGATCCAGGACTCGAACCATGGTCGACCATGTGGGAGTCTGGTGCCTCAATCACCATGTCACCTGCTGGCCCTGGATCCAGCTCTTTTAACCATCCATCAGGCCATGGAGCTGACCCCTCAGGAAGATGTTATAAGCATCATTTTGTCTTATTTACATGTCACTTTTTGCTCTTAACTAATTAATACATGTTGAACAGTTGATAAATCCCTTGTGGTTGCTATTTGTTGTTTTTCCAGAACAAGACTCTTTCAAAACTGTCACCCCAGTATCTAGAAATGCACATTATAGTGGAAAAAGCTTTGGTAAGTCATTTTTTTCATGCCTTTCTGCCTCCTTCCATAACTCCCTTCTTCCCTCTCTCCTCTTTCTCCCTCTTTTCTCATCTTTTTTTCCTTTCCATTTCTTCCTTTCTCCCTCTCTCCTTCTTTCCCTTATTCTTACTTCATCCCATACTTTTTCATCTCTCCTTTTTTCTTTCTCATTTGTGCTTTCTTCTTTCTTTGTTAATTTTTCTATTTTAATTTTATGAAAGGTCTGTATTTTAAAGATAATGGACTTTTCCTCAACATTTTCAAATAGATACATTTTATTTTAGGTATGTTGGATAAAGCAGTACTTGTGACCTTTTTTCATTTCCTTATGAATAAAAGCACAAACCAGCCTTAAATGTCTTCTTCTATCTGATTTTTCCAACCTCAGCTCAGCTCAGTATTATTTTGACCTCACTCCTTAATAACCTCATTCTTCCCTTAAATTGCTCCAGTTTTTCTGGCCACATTGTTTTTATTGAACCCACAAGCATATTCACCTGATATTTCCATTTTTCACAGAGGTTTTAACTACTTCAGTTCTTTTTATTGTCTTTCACTTTATTTGTTATTTGTTTATTTTTATTTACATTTATTGTATGTTTTTACAGCATATGATGTGGGTTCTCAAAGTGCAAATGTGTTGCATGTCAAGGAAGTCAAAGATACCACTATACATAGTATCTTTCCATTCTTGTGTCTGTTAAATGTTCTTTTTTTCCCATTGAGTTCTCCCTCCCATCCCCAACTGTCCACCTCCTTCTTCTTGCTATTTCTGTTGTTATATTTTCCAGTCTTCCCATTTCTGCCATGAAGTGCAGACATTTGGTATTTATTGAGTAGGAGCATATGCAGTCTGTCTTTTTACTTTGGCTTGTTTCACTTAGCATTAAATCTTCTTTATTTGTTCACTTCACAGCAAATGGCAGGATCTCATTGATTTTTGTGATTGAGTAGTCTTCTATAGTGTATATGTGCCACACTTTTTCAATCCATTCTTGGGCACTTAGGTAGATTCCATGTCTTAGCAATTGTGAATAATGCTGCAGTAAACATGGGTGTGCACTACTTCAGGTCTTTGTCTAATTAAAATCTAATTCCCTAACTAAAATCACTTCAATAATAGTGTTTTATGGTCTTTATTCAGCATTCTTAAAATAGGTCTTAATAAGCTTTTCAATAAATAAACCTGTCATCTTCAGTCTGTATTTTCTAAAGACTGACCATTGGGTGTCTACTAACTGCCAAGTACAAACGAGTCACTTGAAGCACTGCTCTAAAGTATTCTCATTCTAATGAAAGAAACAAATGGAAGAAGAGAACTGTAGTCTGATGTATTATATCCATTAATAGAAACTTATATGAGGGAACTTCAAAAAGCTGATTGGAAAGTGGATTTAAAATATAAGCTTATTTTGGTGAAAAAAATTTTGAATTTGTTTTTTCACAATATGTGTTTTCCATGACCTCTTTGAAGACCTCTCACATATAATAAAATGGTAGAATAGAGAAAGATATTGGAATTGTTAAGGGAAGTCTTCATAGAAAAGAATTAAAGTAATTAAATTCCAGCCATAGGCAGGAAGTTGGATTTTACCTCACGTGCACTTGGAATATGCTGGAGAATTTACACTAACACTTAGTAGAAATATTAGTGATGGAAATATAGAGAATAGATACACAGAGCTGTTTAGGCATGTATACAGTAATTCACGTTATTGCAGGCATATAAATGAAGCATGATTTGGGGAACTGTTGGTCAGGGAAAAATGTCATATAAGGCACCCGAATCTCATACTAGCAAGGCATCAGTCGGAAAGCCTGTTCTCATTTCTAATGGAGTGACTGGAGAATTTACATCAAGACCTTAATGTAAACAAGACACAGAAAAGTGAGTGATGAAAGTACGGACCACAGATAACAGAGAGGTGCCGGTCGTGCCAAAGAGCACAGTGAGGCCTATTGCAGTAGTTGATGTTGCAGCTTTGTCCACAGCAATGACCAAAACTGACTTTGAGAATTAAAAAAGAGGAAATTTAAAAATATTTCTCATGAAGGTGTAGCCCACATATAGTAAAGGGAAATGTATCATCACTTTCCATAACTTTGACCTCTTACATATGCATGCGCCAAGACGCATACACATACACCAGATGTGAACATTCCAGCCCTTCAGTCCCTTGCAGTCAACACTTCCCTTTTGTTTTCATCAACTTCATATTACCAATTCATAGTCTCTAGATTAATTTGCGCAACACCATGTCTTTCAGATTAATTTACACTGCTGCCCATGACTGTGTTTTTTAATCTTAGTGTGAAAACCCTACAGTGCGGGGCTGTTATGAATAAATGGTTATTCACATCCTCGTACATGCCTTTTGGTGAGCATAGATCTATTGCATCTATACCTCAGAGTGGAGTCATCATGATACGGCATTGGTTTATCTATTCTCAGAGGATGTGAAAAACAATTCCAAAAGTGATTATAGCAATTTATTTATTTGTTTTCTATTTTTATTTTATAATTTCTCATTTAAATTTAGTTGTTTTACAAAGATTATAGGAATTTCTTCTGTCACGAGTCTAGGTGCCAAAGCTCCTGAGCGCACAAGCAATTGCTATTGATCATCTTTTCCTTAGTCTGATGGATGTGTAGTGATAACTTATTAGAGACTTTTGTTTCTATTTACCTGATGACTGAGGAGTCTGGCTGTTTCCCTATGGTTGTCAACTAAATGAATGGATTTTTCCTTATTTTAATTTAATATTTTTCTCATTGCTTCTTGGGGAGCATTTTGTCTTATGTGCACTTAACATGTAATTCCATCAGTGGAAATGCATACCTTATTTTACATTACTTTCCTTTCCAGCTCTATTGTGGTTATGTTTGAACAACGCATGGACATGTCTAAGATTTGGTAGGATTCCTTACTTTCAACCTATAAAATTGACAGTTGGGACAGAGGTATTAATTATTTTCCCAATGTCACTCCAGAACAGGGATAATCATTAAGCCCCTAAGTATTATATTTGTGCATTTCAATTTTTTTTTTCTGTTTCTGTGTTCGCTCTTCTTTCTTAACTTAGCAATTAATGGGATATATTTTGATTCTCTCTGTTTCATAGGAAGTTACTAACTCAAGAAATTTCCTTATAACAGGGAGAAATCTGTAGAGATACTTTCGTACCTCTTCATGATTTTGAGTTTTCTCTGCTTGACAATTTCTTTGAAATATAAAACAAGAATCTATTTTGAATCCTCATGTATGTTTTATACTGTGGGATTTTTGTCATGAAAATTTTCATCTTTATATTGGTATGCTTTAAGTTGTTTGGCAAACCCTAATCTTTTCCTGCCTGGATCACCAAGACACACTTGCCATCTAGGAATTTACTATCATTTGCATTTAAAAAAATTATAAGAACTCAAATTTGTTTTTCAGTATGATTATATGGGATCTGAAATGATGGCTGTAACACAGAAGATTGTCCAGCTTATTGGTCTTGTCAACACTGTAAGTTTACTTTTCCTAGTTTTATGAAAAACCTTTGAAAAAGATTTATATTCTTTATGGGAAATTAATGACTTGACAACTTTCAATGAGTTTAATATTCAAAATACTCAAATAAACTTTTTACTTTTTATGTACTGTTTTGATGTAATGAGTTATGTTCCTTGAAAAATATACAATAAATCTTATTTTTAGATGTTTACCCAGCTCAAATTGACTGTTATACTGTCCTCCTTGGAATTATGGCCAGATAAAAACCAAATTTCTACCAAAGGGGATGCTGATGATGTATTACAAAGATTTTTGGCATGGAAACAGGACTATTTTACCCTTCAGCCCCATGACATAGCACACTTACTCATGTAAGCACGATGTTCTATATTAATAAAGATATATAGATAAATAATTGCCTCACATTGGTAATTTGTTGCATTTATGGTGTTCTTCCACTTTCTGTAGACCTCTTTAGAAATGTTAAAAATATGGACATAACTTTTGCCATGGGATTGACAGTGTAGCTGAAAATACAAGAACAAAAAATCAAAATCAGTTTAATATCAGAATACTTTGGAGTATAAATGTGAAAAAAATCTGCACTTTAGGAACATTTATGATATTGACTTTACTGCAGAATACATGCAACCCTTCACTTATTAATGATGTAAAAATTGACATTGTTCATTGTTCTTGCTGCTGGTAATATTTAATCTTAAAAGACATCATTGGCTCAGGTAAAATTGCTTTTTTTCAGAACTAAAAATGTTTTTGTTTGTAACTTTTAGTGACTGAAACAGTGAATGCAGAGTAAGGGAAATAAAGTTGAGTTTGATATAAGATGATATTAAATCTAGGGCTTAGGTGAGGGAAGAACATTGGTATTATAGCAAATTGCAGTTCTCAGTACTTTGAGAATTTCTAGACTCTATTAGGTATTATCCAGATTGGACCTTTGTATGTTTATAAAGTCATTTTTCAGAAAGCAGGATTTGATTTAATAAATAAGCTTGTAAATTGGTCTGAATAACTGTGTTAATAAAAGACGACCCTGTGATGGTGTAGTTACAGGGAACACCCTACCTACGTGGGAGCGACCTTTCCTGGGACCATATGCAATCAAAACTATGATGCAGGTGTTGCCGTGGTATGCATTTTTCTTTCTTTACATTAATGTCTGTTGAATCTGACCTTTATGAGTATTTAGAAGTATTAATTTAAGTGGTTAAACAGTGTACGAAAAGCTGATTTTTTTCTGTATGTGTATATTCATTAATTTTTTGTTGAGGTAAAATTATTGGAATCTTGGAAAGTTTATTTAAGTATACATTTCAAAGACAAGGAATATAATAGGACTAACTGTTTGTATACCCATTTACAACCAGTCATAATGCACATCAACATTTACTTCCTTTTTTTAAGGAAATAAAACATTAACTCGAAGTTAAAGTATATGTTTTTCTCAAGTTCAAGAAATAGTACAAATGATGAACTCATGCTTGTCATTTTATGTAAATGTGATGCTATTTTTCCCAAACATTTGTATTTATAAACATTATCTTTAATGCTTTGGTGTGATTTTAAAGCATTATTTTTAAATTACTTTGAATTTTTTAAAAAAGATACATAATGAGGAAGTGTTACTCTGTGTGATTATTTTGTCTTTTAAATTTAAAAAAAATTTCAAGGGATGCATATATAATTATGATAGATAACAGAATGCATCACAAGACTAATATTGAAAAAAATTAATGAATTGCTTACGGAAACTACGTCCCCTGTATCCTCTTTTTTAATTTTCCAGAATTTCTCCTCCTGGCATATAATTCCATATCTGCTTCTTTTTAAATAAACATTTTATTTAAAAACATAGTAGGTAGAGAAAACTGGGGAAAGCAAACTGTATAGCATAATTTAATTTTTCCTTAGTCAATACACAGGTATAAATGAAGAAATGGATATTTTCAACACTTGAGAAAACCGCTGTGAATCATGCCTTCTGTCATTCACTGCCCACGCCTAGGATAGCCACTGCCAACCTTTTTTTGAACTTGATGAGAATGGAACAAGGTTAAAGTCTTGTAAGCCATAGTTTTTTCTTCAAGATTAGGTCATTTGTGGCTGTCTTGATCAAACTTTCTCCTTTTGCTCATGTAGTGTTTCTTGTTTATTGCTGTTAGTTTATTTCTGTGCTCTCATTGACCCTTAAGATGTAGGTGAATTTGTCAAGGTGCTCATGAACCTTCATCGCTTTCCAGTTCCCTGGAGCTTCCGTAGTTTCCATTGGCAGTGCCATGTTTGGGCACTTCGTGATCTGGGTTGTCTCTCTTTGGTGGCTGTGCATTTGAAGGAGCACTCATCTCATTTAGTGTTAACAGAATGGCTCCAGCAGAAACCTCCTATCAGCCCAGCTGGAGATTCTGAGGATTTCTCAAAACTTCATTGTGGACGCCGCTGTTCTGTTCCCGTGCCTTCTCGGGATGAGCAGAGCCATGTTGTGTGTGAGTATCTGGCTCCTTTTCCCTAGGTTAGTGCACTGAGCAGCCAGAGTGTTCAGTACAAGCTCCAATTCTTCCATCCTTGCTGAGGGAGCTGTCTCTAGGTCGCATGCCTTCTGGTCATTCAGTGGAGTCCAGTTGGCTGCAGTATCGGTACTGGCTGTTGAGATGGACACGCCGGTTCTCCAGTGTGTGTGCACTGCCTTCACAGCACACAGGCAGTGGCTGTGCGAGCACACGGAACACCTGTTGCAGGGCATGCCTGTCTGTAGTGGGTGGACTGGATGACTGGTCTGTGGGCCCGCTGCTGAGATGCACATGTTGGCTGCTGTGAGCACCTGCCCTTTGCTTGCGTAACTACCCCTGGGTAATCTAGTTTTGCCTATTCCCTTGTTCTGGGTGAGGTGAGACAAAGCAGGCCTCTCAGAAAGGCTGGGAGTGTTGGACGCTTACTTTTAGGAGACATTGTGTCTGAGGAGGGTATCTTTTATGGCTAAGCTGTGCCAGCTTAGGGAGAATGATGTGGGTCAAGGAAAGCCTTCTCCTCCTACATTTTGATGTAGCTACTGTAGAAACCTCTCAACTGGAGGACTGTCATAAAGATATTTCCTCAGTGGATGATTTCTGTGCAAAGATGAGAACGGGGACCTCTTCGTCTGCCATCTTATTGATTTTAGCCCCTTGAATTGTCCATTTGTTCATTTCCTAAAATCCTCTCATTTATCTTCAGAACAGCAGCTCTGTAACAGACAACATTTCATCCCTGAGTTCAAATCCTGAGTCTGCAGCTAAGTGACATTGAGGCTGTGAATTCTAGACATGAGTGTGTCAGGATACCACCAGGAAATGTGGAGACAGAATACGAAGGACCATCTCTCTCTGTCTCTCTCTCGTTTAGTATCCTATTTATTCAGCAGCCCTAATTTCCTGATAGTCACATTTTAGCTTTATGGTGCCAGAGAGGGAGAAATGTTTCCATGACTGCTTTCTGAATCTGCATGCCATGCCTGCCACCACTGTCTACTTGCGAAACGCCAAGACATGGCACTCTCCCCCAGTAGCTCCCTTTGAGCCTAGTTACCGCCCAGCGCTGCCAGCCTCTTTGAATTCTTTGGCGCCTTTGGGTAGCTGCATTTTTGTTGTTATGCTCAGGGGAACAAGTATGCTAGCATTCAACTTCATTACCTAAAGTGAATATTCAAGTCTGTGCTGTAGATTCCATTTCTTCACTGACTGTCCATCTATTTACTCCATTTCTCCTCTTCTCTCTCTCTCTCACAGCATCATTTATTAGTCTGAAGTGATATCCTTTTCTATTACATCTATTGATTCTTTGTATGATCTCTCTTATATAATTGGACTAGGGAATGATTTTATTTGGAAGGGATCCCATCTGTTGCATGACTTTAAACTGGAGATGTAGTTTCAAATGTATGATGTTAGAGGTACAAGGCCGCATCTGCTCCTCTTCCATGGCATTGGAGGTTCAACTTTAGTTCCTATATTTGCCCTACACTCTGATGGTTAACCTCCCTATCACCTCTCATGTTCTGCCCTAACTTTAACCTACTTTGAATTTATGACACTAGGATTTTCAAGCTAACTTATTATAGGACAACAGGAAGGGACAACAGGAAGGGATGCCTCGTAACTATTTTTTCCACATTAGATCTGTCCCATGTTTATATTCATACTTATGCACATATGTACACATACTCTTCCTTGTCCTTTAGCTATGCATTATTTAAGTCTTAGTCACTATAAATTCCCATTGATTTAGAGAACTTGCTATAAATGTTCTAAGAGTTTTGCTTATGATGATTAGAGAGCTGAGAAAAATATAGTTTGCTAAAGTTAGATAATATGGGGTCATCAGGTAGCATGCTGCTTAGGGCACTGGACTGCCATATGGCTGAGCGCAGTTTGAGTCTTGGACCTGGCAGCTTGATTTCTTCTCTCTCTCTCTCTCTCTTTCTCACTCTGGCCCTCTCTGTTCAAATTAAAATAAATTAAAAAATGAATAAATAAGATTGAAAACTTATTTAAAAAGTTAAACAATATGAAGTATACTGTCATCTACACTGCTGCCAACTTTAAATTTTTTTTGTTTTAGAGTTTTACTATAGGGCATGTGTGCTCCCCAGAGAGACAGAGACAGAGAGGCAAAAAGTGAGAAATAACCCCCAGGGGATATCCTCCACTCTCCTCTTGGGAATTTTGGGCATGTACACACATGTGTGTGGTGTGAGTTTTAAGCTGCTCGGGTCTGGGACTTGAACCATGGTTGACTACATGGAAGTCCAGTGATGTAACCATTAGCCATCTGCTGATCCCCCAAGCAAGTCACTGTTTTTTTTTTTTTAATAAGAGTTATTTTATTTAACTTTATTTATTTACTTATTATTTTTTAAATTGGTCCAGAGAGGGACAGAGGCAGAAAGAGCAAGAGAGAGAAAGTGAGAAAGCAAGCCACCAGGTCCAGGATTTGAATCATTGTCGGCCACGTGGGAGTCCAATGGCCCTAACCACCATGCTACCTGGCGGACCTGCTACCCACTGTTTTTTAACTTCCTATCTCAGATTTCTTTACCACGATTGTTTGTGTGTCGCTAGCTCTTGTCTCATACCCTCTTCACTCCACTTACTATGGCATAAACTTTTAGCTGGTCTCTATCTGAGCGTTCTACCCATATTCATACTTTTGTATTATTTCCCAAGTTTTAGATTGTGACCTAAATATCTGTTTCCCAAGAGGGTTTTCCTATTACCTTCTCTAAATATCATGCTTAATCCCCTCATAAATTTCCAGTTGGAATACTGTTTTCCTTTACAGCAGTGTTAATAATTCACATATGTATAGGCAGCTCATTGTGGGTTCCTGTTCCTATGTTTCTCTTTCTATGACATAAACTCCAGGTGTGAACTAAGTCCATTACTTTCATGCATGCCACTCTGTTCTCATCACATGATGGTGCCTGACACACGAATACATGGAATTAGGATTTATTAGTCATATAAACTGACTTCATGGAAAAGCGAAATAAATATGTTCTACTTTGACTGCATAAGAAATACTATATGTTCAAAGCTATAGAATCTAGGCTTGTCAGATTTTAAACCAGACTATCATAATTTTATTTTTTGAACATTATTTTATGCTTCTTAATTAATACATTACCATACATATACATATTGATAAAAATATCCCAACAGATGAATGGTCAACCTTAAAAAGTGTAAAAATATAAAACTTTATAGGAGCAAAATGATTTCAAGTCACTACTTGCATTTATTTTCTTTTTCTATAATCATTTTCTCTTAACTCTTCATTTCAGTATTCAGATTCAATGAGTTTGGAGGCATTTTCAGTTATTATAGCTCAACTGCTTGGCCTTAATATAGGACTGACATATGATGACATCAGTAAGTGTTCCTGTCCCAGAGCTACATGCATAATGACTCATGAAGCAGTGTAAGTCTACTTTTCTTAACTAATTTCACATATTTCTTCATGAGTTTTTTTCTCAGATGCGAATTTTTTACTTTTTATATTCAACTCTATAAAAAATTGAGATGATATGCTTGCACAGATTTAATTATTATAACTTTTTGCATTGCTTTTTTGGAAAGAAACTTTTTCTATATGTTTTTGGGGAATGTGGAAGGTAAATAATATCAAAATTAAATTTTTGTTATGGTTGTTTAATCTTTGCTGAGATTTTGTATTTTAATTTGAGCCATCTTAAATTCATATAATTATGAGTATCAACAGTTGGTGTAATGGATATGTTACTGAACTTCCTTGTAGTTGACTGTGGTTCAAGTCCCAGACCCAGTGGCTTTAACTCATGCTGGGTGTGTGTGTGTGCATGCCCAAGGTCCCAAGAGGAGAATGGAGGAGAAGGGATTGTGGTGTGGCCATCCCCCTGGGGGAGTGATTTCTTGCTTTCTCTCTCTTGTCTTTCTAGCAAGTACATGGGCCCTATTGCAAAAACCTCTAAAAAAGTTCATATTATTATGTGTGGAGCATTGTCTAGATGTGGTTTTATTAGCAAGGTTTATTTATCTGAAGAATATTATTTAATTTTAGGAGTTCCAGCGGTATAAAGAGTTTTAGCAACTGTAGCATGTCTGAATATAAAAATTTTCTTTCAAAATTTGAGGCTAAATGTCTTCAGAACCTTTCAAATTTGCAACCATTACATAAAAATCTACCCAAGTGTGGCAATGGGATTTTGGAACCTAATGAAGAATGTGATTGTGGCAATGAAGAAGTAAGTACTAAAGACTGAAAACTGAACACAATTTGTATGTCTCTAATTAAAAATTCAGACTTGTTTGTCATGGTATGTATGGGATAATATATACAATGAATTCTTCTAATTATAACTGAGATTTGAGGGTAGTTTTGATGTACCGGTCACTTTCTAGATCTCTTGGATTGGGAAGATAAACACTTCATAAGTTTTCATAAAGAAATGGAGAAGAAAGCATTGCAGTGTGGCCATCCCCACTGGGGGGGGCTTTCTCCCTTTTTTTTTCTCTCTCTCTGTCTCCAGTGAGCACATGTGCCCTATAGGAGATTAAAATTATGTATGTATATTAAATGTGTCTTTATTCCATGAATTACTTAACTCTGCTTTCATACATAGTTGGAATCTCTAGTAAACAAATCACTAACAAGACCATCAAGAAAGGTTTACATTTCACCTGGAATCTCACCTTTCTTTTCCTCCAAGAATATATTTCCATGTTAGTAATTTCTGAATTAATTGCCAAGTATTTTAGCTAATAAATGTTACTGATCAACTTCTATTTTAGAATTTTTAAATAGTGTACAGTTCTTATGTCTAGCCGGATATTCTAGGAATAATGAAACAGCAAAGCTTGACTGAGTATAATTATACTGCATGGCCTAAAAGTTGAGTAAAATAGAGTATTACATTGAAGTGTAGAAATCTTACCTTGGACAGCTGGAATAATATTTCTTCTGATAATATTTTAGGAATGTCAATTTGAAAAATGCTGTGACTACAGGACATGTAAACTGAAAGGCTTGGTGAAGTGTGGTTCCGGGCCATGCTGCACATCGAACTGTGAGGTAAGTGGCCAACATGTATGAAAAGAACATTGACCTGCGATAACAGAATCCACGTGGAACTGATCAAAAAGATTATAGAAGACATTCAGTAAAATAAAATACACACCGAATAAACAAATGCTAGTATACGCGGAAAATTCTTTTGGAGAGAGCAGACATCTCAGATTGGTACTGACTGTGCTGAAACCACAAAGTCTACCATCTTCTAAATGAACAGATAAAGATGAGGAAAAAACATACAGATTATTATATCAAAAATGTATTGACCTTTCTCTCTTGCCAGTTTTAGTATTTTGCCTCTGTGGTTTCAGTCAATCTGGCTATGAGCCTTGGGGAAGGTCTTCTTGGTTGATTCTAGGTGGGGTCCTTTGTATTTCTTGGGTCTGGATATTTGAGTGCCTCTCACATTCCCATTCTTAGGGAAAAAAAGCTTTTAACTATAATTGTGTTAATCAGAATTCTGGCTAATGATTTTTATCTTCTACACGGTAAGTTCAGGCCATCCAGAGTCCTGAAGCATTAAGGCAAGAAGCAATGCAAATATCCACATGTGGATGTCAGGAAAGGCTTCTGAAGGCTCTTTTCTCGCAGAACAATCCCAGCCCCAGGCAGGCAGGGTTCCATCCCCTGGCAAGCTCATTACATATAACTACACATTATTTTAGGGCAAGTAAAATGAGAAAAAGACATTTTATCATCCAAGTCATAGATTTCATTTCCAGTTCCCTTTATTACCTTTTGGAAAATTCTGCTTGGTATCATATTCCTTGTGCCTGAAGACCTTCCTTTATTAATTTTTGTAATTTGAGTATAGTAAAAGTAAATTATTTCAGTCCATTTGTCTAGGAAAGTCTTTCTTACTCATGTTTTTTTTTTTTTTAGAGGTTTTCGCTATAGGGCGCGTGCGCTCGCCAGACAGACAGAGAGAGACAGAGAGACAGAAAGCGAGAAATCATCCCCCAGGGGGGATGGTCACGCCGCAATCCCTTCTCCTCCATTCTCCTCTCGGGATCTTGGGCACGCACGTACACACGCCCGGCATGAGTTTTAAGCCACCGGGTCCGGGACACGAACCGCGGTTGACTACGTGGGAGTCCAGCGACAGAGCCATTACGCTAACTGCTGGTTCCCTCTTACTCATTTTTGAAATTTATATTTCCTGGCTATGAAATGCTAATTAGAAAGAGTTTATTTTTTTCCTTTTTCATCGCTTTTAAGATGTCACTTCATTTATCATTCACTTTTGTTTAAATATTAATTCATTAAAATTGGACGATTCTGTGTGTGTGTATGTGTGTGTGTGTGTGTGTGTGAGAGAGAGAGAGAGAGAGAGAGAGACTTCAACATGCATAATACATAGCAGGTCAGCATTTAGACATGAACTTCACTGGTGAAAAGTGAACAATTTTGCAGTAACTTCCCCTTCATTGGAGCTACTCAGGGATGCCTTTGTGCTCTCAGATAATAATAAATTAGCGCTGGTGCTGATAGCTGTTTCATACATCGTTTACCATGTATTGTCCTAAGCACTTTTCCCATTAGTTCAATTCAATACTAATAAGAATGCTATAAGAATATGATTATCCCAAATTTACTTATGTAAAATAGAGAAATTGTTTTTCTCGTCCGCACTAATAAACCAGTAAGAGTCAGAGCTAGGGACTGAAACTAGGCCATCTATCTCTTAGGTCTCTCTCAATTTCAAGGATCAAGTCTGTCTAAACTAATCATTTTAGGCTCTCACTAGTGCTACTTGAGTCAAATTAATTCACAATGGAGTAGAAAAGCAGGTGGACAGTGGCAAATCTTGTCAGAAGGGATCCTTTTATTAATATATCACTGAGACCCTGCTCTTCTCTGGGCTTCACAATGAATATGGTACTTGATTTTTCTTTTGATGGACTCCCAGTATTGGGCATTTTGTCATTCCCTCAATTGTCCCTAATCAAAACTGTTTTATTTGATAAATCTCTTCAGTAAGTAATTGAGAATGGTAGTGGTTCTCTGAATAGAGAACTTGATTTTTCTTTTTCCTTTTCTTCCTAGTTCTCAGTAGCAGGCACTCCCTGTAGAAGGAGTGTTGATGAAGAGTGTGATTTTACAGAGTATTGTAATGGAACTTCTAATAATTGCGTTCCCGACACTTACGCATTGAATGGTCACCTGTGCAAGTTGGGATCTGCATACTGTTACAATGGACAATGCCAAACAACTGATAACCAGTGTACCAGGATATTTGGAAAAGGTACTGCTCTCTCATTTACATTTATTTGCCAGTGGGTGGCAGGATATTTAAGGTACTGGATTTCCACATGGCTGATCATGGTCCAAGTCCTGGCCAGGTGACTTGAAAGTCACACTGAACACATGTGCATGCATGCCACAAATCCTAAGAGGTGAATGGAGAAAAAGGGATGGTGGCATGGCCATCCATCCTGGGGGCTGATTTCTCACTTTCCCTCTCACTGGCTTTCTCTGCTGAGTACATGCTCCCTACAAAAAAAAAAAAATTCTATATTGCCTTTACCATGACACACAATCTGAGAGATTAACCTCTACTTAAAATACTGCTGATTCCCTACATGAGGGGGATAAAAAAGAACATGGAAAACTATGTATAAATTCCTAAAGTTTCTGCCCATAATAACATGTTTTAGATCATTCATTTTATTAAGAGGAAGCTACAAAGTCAAGACTAATATCCATTGAGCTATGAGAACCAGCAGTTAGCGTAATGGCTATGTCGCTGGACTCCCATGTAGTCAACCGTGGTTCGCATCCTGGACCTGGTGGCTTAAAACTCATGCCGGGTGCGTGTGCATGTGTGCCCAAGATCCCGAGAGGAGAATGGAGGAGAAGGGATTGTGGCGTGACCATCCCCCCTGGGGGGTGATTTCTCGCTTTTTGTCTCTATGTCTCTCTCTGTCTGGCGAGCGCACGTGCCCTATAGCAAAAATCTCTCTCTCTCAAAAAAAAAATCCATTGAACTAGGGGATGTTTGCTCTTACTGAGAAGGACAACCAATTTTATTTTTTTTTTAATTTTTTTTGCTATAGGGTGCATGCACTCGCCAGAGACAGACAGAAAAAGGAAAGTGAGAAATTACCCCCTTCCGTCAGAGAGCATGACCATGCTGCAGTTCCTTCTCCTCCACTCCCCTCTTTGGATTTTGGGCAGGAACCTACATGCACTTGCTGTGTTTTGAGCCACCAGGTCCAAGACTTGAACCATGGTAGACCATGTGGGAGTCCAGTGCCTTAACTACTATACGACCTGCTGGCCCCCAAATTGTGTTTTAAAGTAATACAATTACTGCAATAGATAGAATCCTTTGTGTGTTGTGTTAAATAAGACAATTTTCCACTTAAATCATCAGGACATGCACAGAAACAAAAGAGTGATCAAGTGTACAATTTTAAAAAATGAATCTCTTTAGCTGACTATAGATGAACATTTAGCTTGGATTAAAAATGATAATTCAAGGTATATGTTTGCTTTCTAAGGTGCTCAAGGTGCTCCATTCGCCTGTTTTAAAGAAGTTAATTCTCTGCGCTATAGATTTGGAAACTGTGGTTTTGAAAACTCACAACCATTGCCTTGTGAGCAGAAGTACGTATATAAAAATGATATGTTTCTTTAAATCATAAAACTTAGAAATTCTTTGTCAAGAGACACTAGACAGAAATGAGTGGTAAATTGTACGAAAGGACAGTGCGTTCAAATACCGTTATTTGTCTTTTTCTTTTCTTGTGTGCAGTCCAGTTTTCTTTCCCTTGTTTTTCTTCTGGTGTCATCCTCAGGATGATACAGCATGAAAAGAAGGCTGATGCTTATTGTCAGAGTATGGAAGAGGGCATAAATTTCCCAAAATCACAACTCCTTCTGTATATATTGACAATTAAAATTTGGTGTTGAATTAAGTTTACAAATAGGAAAAATTCTAAAGCATATGCTTTTATTTTTAAGGCATAAAATTGTCAAAACACAGTTGTTTTTATTATTTTTGTATGTTTCTAAATCACTGAATGTAAATCATGGCAGTACATATACATAGCCAAACTGGGAATATTGGAGCATAGTTTTACTAAAATCCGTGTAATAGATTGATTCCGATAAAGGAAGTGCCTATCCCATAACAAATGCTTACTCTGAACTTCAACAGGGTAATAAAAAGAAAAGAAACATAAAAAATAGTAATCAAGCCAAATTCAAGAAATAAGGAAGTAGAAAGAGAATGTAAGAACACTTAGGTAAGATTAGGCAATCTAAGAAGAAGCAAGACTTTCTTTTAGTCTCTAAGACATAGCCAGGAAAAATTGTCAAATCCTTAGTTAAGCATCACTCGGAATGGTTCTAAAGCAACGTGGCTCCTTTAAGTAGATGGAGAATGTATGAAAAAGGTGTTTAGTTGGTGGGACCAAGACAATATCGCACACACACACGCACACGCACATATACATGCACACACTTACCATGGATTATGACTGTCGTGAAGAGGATGAATGTCTCACAAGCCCCAATATAGGAAGATAAGTACATGGGAAGAGGGAATGAGGAATCACAAAGGGAATGCTGGAAAGTGAGAATGAAGAAATCCTGTATGATCACTGAAATTCTGTATGATCTCTGAAGGCTAGACCTCATTGGATAAGAGTACAGAGCCTGTGACCCTGCAGACTGAATTAGACTACAGAGAAGCCCATCAAAGACAGAAGATGTGGTATACCAGCTGCTTGTAATCTCTCTCCTTGCTACGCATCAGCACATCTGCTCCTTTGGTCAGTACTCATGGAAGAAGGAAAAAGAGAAGTGGAAGACTCCATGGGAGTTAGCAAGCATGACTTATCTGGACTTTATTTGATAATACAATATAACAAAACATCAGTTTTCCTGAAATAAAATTAGACAAGACTGGAATTGAGCAGTGTAGATTATCTGCTCTAAGCAGACTATGATCCCTATTCAGAAAAGAAAAGACTTCTACCACAGATGCAAATGACGAGAAAATGTACTTCGGAGGAAGAGTTTGTACTCAATAGCCAGACTAGAAAGAGAAACACAATGCAAGGTTGGGTTAATATACATTCCATAGAAAGACAGAAGAACCCCACTGAACAAATAAAGAAAGAAAGAAAAACTAAAAAATAGTATGCTGGAGGAAAGGAAAGTTAGGAAAAAGTTTTAGGTTTTGGCTTCCAACCGTATTATAATCTTCACTTGGCGCCATTAAGCTAATTGCTACGATACTAAAAGAACCAGAATGGTGTTTTGGGAAGAATGGATAACAGTTCGTAAGAGGAGATATTTGGCAGAATAATACTGACATGCTCAGTAGACACCTATCTTTAGCCCAAACTGGTTGTGTCCATGGAAGATTTTTAACTGCTGAATAGATACCAGGAAGGTTGAGTGATTCTAGGAGCAAGAACAGGCATAGATCATTTTCTGGGCCATAGTCTAGAAATATTGTAAACTTCTTAGAGAAGTCAGCTTGCTACCTAGTGGTGGATCATGAGCAGCAAAATCAAGTGTCTGTGAGACAGCCTTTGACTATGTTGTGGCATGGAGAGGAGCTAAACAGCTCTAAATTCTCAAGAGGCAAGTTTAGATACAGTGACAATATTGATCAAAATCGAGAGTCTGTGTACTGCAGAAACATACCATATAGAGATTATGGTGAGGACCACAGGGCTAATCAAAAGACGCAGAAGAGTAAGTGCAATAATCAGCCACTCAGCACATTGGGGAAACAGGTGTCCAATCTCGCCAAGCCGTATCAAAGTAAGGGCAAGTGATAAATTCTCCCAAAAAGTGTGGTGAAATATGAAGAGGGCTCTAAACCAACTGAAAGCAAAAAAAAAAACAATAAAACTCAGTCGTAGAAGGGAAATCATGATCATGTCTACATAACAGAGTTCAGCGTATACATTTCAATTCTGCTACAACTAGTCAATCAAGTTGAATTTAGCTGTCATACACAATAATTGGATGCTTTTATTTTGGCGTGTTGTCTGGTTTCATACCATTAATTAACATTTACATGATCATGCAATAATGGATTGGAATCTGGAATCATTTGAAGACAAAATAATAAGGAGTGTTGTACTTTTGCTTTCTATTTCCAGGGATATACTCTGTGGAAAATTAGCTTGTATTTGGCCACAGAATGATACTTACAAAAGCAGTGTTCAATCAGCAGTTCATTCACATATTCAAGATCATGCATGTCTATCTGTAACTTCTGAGTTATCCATGAGATCAGTCGGAAGAGACAATGGCTACGTGGCTGATGGCACTGTGTGTGGCCTCCACATGGTAATAACATGTGATAAGTTACATTGAGTTGTTTATGTTAATCATCATATTCTGTATTTTACGGTGACTATTCCAGTTATATGGAAAGGTTTTGAATCTGGTGCTGACATTTATTTCACATATGATATTGAAAAAAGTATATGAACTAGGCCTCATTTATCCAATAGCATTGCTTTTTAAATTAACCTTAAATCAGTTTTTATGTCAAAAAGGAGCATGAATGTTTTAAGCACAAGATTCCATTGACACATAATTCTTTTTAGATCTTTTAATTCTTAGTAGCTTTGATTATAGAAACCTAACACTGAATCTTCCATTTTCCTGCTCCATAAAGAACTGTCTTTTTAAAATCATCTGATTATATATATATCTGATTAAAATATAACTGTGAGAAATTTAGAAGAATAAAATAATAAATCTGTACTAGAGGGCCAGCAGATAGCGTAGCACCTAGCACCTACTTTCACATGGCCCACCACGGTTCGAGTCCCAGACCAGTGGTTTGAAAATCATGCTGGGCACGTATGTGTGCCTGCCTATGATACCAGGAGGAGAACAGAGGAGAAGGGATTGTGGTATGATCATTCCCCCTGGGAGGTGATTTATCCCTCTTCCTCTTACTGTCTCTGTCTCACTCTCTTTCCAGTGAATGCACATGCCCTAAGGCAAAACCTCTTAAAAAAAAAAAAGAAAAAGAAAAAAGAAATCTGTACTGGGAAAGCAGTCTCAGTACATATACCAGCTCAGGAATGGATGTGTGTATGTGAGCGCTTAGATCCACACAGTCATGAAACAAAGGGGAACAAAGTGGCTCAAAGGTTTTCATCAATCAAAAGTTAATTTTGAGGAAATATTTATGAAAAGTGAATTTTCGTTCTCATTATGCCTTTATATCATTAATTAATCAAAATCTATGCTAATATTGGGTTGTCTGGAAAGTGATGCCACATTTTTGCATAGAAAAACAGAAAAATACATCATGACTTTCCCGACAACCTAATATTTTTGGAGAAAAACTAAGCTACAAAGTCAGTTAAAATAAAAAATGGTAAATGAAGCAAAAAGTCACATACTGTGGAAACTAATTACCCTAGGATTACCCACATTAACATAATAGGTTTCTATGGTAGATAAAAATGATGTTAAATATTTCACTTGTTAGATTATTCTGACAAATATTACAACAAAAATTCATAATAACTTAGGAGTTATATCTGGAGCCTAAACAAAATTAATTCTGTTTCTGTTTTCAAGGGGACAAATTATTAACGTTAACCAATTAATTTTTTTCAATTTTTTGAGAGAGCTTTTTTTATGCTATAGGATGTATGCATTTGCAGGAGACAGAGACAGTAAGCAAGAAATCCCCCCCAGGGGGAGTGGCCACACTGTAACCCTTCTTCTCCATTATCTTCTTGGGATCTTGGGCATGTACACACATACCCAGTGTGAGTTTTAAGTTGCCAATCTGGGACTTGAATCGCAGTTGACTACATGGGAGTCCAGCAAAGTAACCATTATGCCATCTGCTGATTCCTAACCCATTGTTCCTAATGAAGCAATAACATAAAAAATAAAACCCGCCTTGGGGCCAGCAGGTGGCATAATGGTTAAGGCTCTGGACTCTGGTCAACTGTGGTTTGAATCCTGGACCTGGTGGCTTGAAACTCACACAGGGGGTGTATGTGTGTGTGTGCATGTGTGTGTGTGTGTGTGTGTGTATGTGTGTGTGTGTGTATGTGTACCCAAAATCCTGAGAAGAGAATAGAGGAGAAGGGATTGTGGCATGGAGGAGAAGAGATTACAGCATGACCATTCCCTCTGGGGTTGATTTCTCTCTTTTTTTCTCTCTGTCCCTGTCTCTCTCTCCCTGCAGTGAGCTCATGCACCCAATGGCAAAAAAATCTAAAAAAAAAAAGAAAAAGAAATAAAAAAGAAATAATAACAAACAAAAAGTGTAATGTTTTAGATTTTTGTACTGAGTATGGTAATGCAAAATATTCCTATCAGAATTAGAATAATATGAATAATCAGTCCCTCAACTTGAGCATTTTTTGTGTTTATATAGCAATGAATTAATTACATCTCAGTTTGTATAAATTTTGTGAATGATTATAAATATTTTTTGTTTTATTTTAGTACTGTGTAAATAAAACATGCAGAGAAGCTCATTCCATGGGATATAACTGTAATGCCACTGTAAAATGCAAAGGGAATGGAGTAAGTTACTTCCACTTGTAGTTCTAAGTTGCATGTCGTTGTGGGTAAATGGAAGTAAACCTTTATCCTGTGCTGAGAGTCTATGTTACTTGTAAATTGATCTTGCCTAGAGATAGCTGATTTATATGCACATCATGCACAAATACATATGTATATCAACTGAGCTAATTCTAACACTATTAAGTAAATTGCACTAGATGTGTTTTGAATTATTTTACATACCCACGACTTGAGTTTGTAATTTTTAAAAATCAGCTCTTAAACACAAATGTTTTCTTCATATTATGATCATAGTTTGCTCTTCCTTATACACTTAATTCGATATATGGCTATATTTTACAGAGACTATACTTAAAAATATGCTGACGTCTTACCACATTTTCTATTGTTCTTAAGGAAAGGGTTGCAAAGTGAAATGCAACCACATGCAAAAAACTTTTATTTCATCTCTGTTGATCTATTTTAATCTGGTAATATAAACTTGTTACTTTCACATTGCACTTTTATTTCTTAAAATTCACAATTTAGGGTCTTTCATTGTTTCGCTTTTCTAAAAGAAATTTAGTGTGTGATGTAGTCAATATTATATTAATATACTCAAGGTCACTATAATGTATTTGATTTTATAATTTTTTAAATTCTGGAGGTAAAGTATGAAACAGCATTGTCCTTAACCTGCCTATGAACTATTAACAAAGAAAATAAGCACATTTTATGTTTTATTTTTTATTATCTGTAAATACAATTGTTGGCCTGATCTTTTGCTTTACTTCATGATATTTTTTACCATTATGCTTTAGCCTGAATTTTTTTGGTAACATCTTCTAGCTCTTGTAATATTATTATTTTTTTTTACATTTTTGCCATAGGGTATGTGTGCTCACTAGAGAGAGACAGAGAGAGAGAGAGAGAAAGTGAGAAATAACTCTGTAGCAGGGACGGTCACACTACAGTCCCTCCATTCTGCTTTTAGGATTTTGGGCATGTAGGCATGCACATGCGTCAGCATGATTTTCAAGGTGTCGGATCCTGTACTTGAACCATGGTTGGCCATGTTATGGTCATCCAGTGCCTTAACCACTGTGCCATCTGCTGGCCCTAGTTCTCATATTATTAATGCATGCATTTTTGGTAAAATTTATATAATATGAAATTTATAATTACAGCTATTTTTGAAGAATTATTTATTATTATTATTTTTAATTTGCTATAGGTTACATGTGCTCACCAGAGAGAGAGAGAGAGAAAGAGAGCTAGGGAGAGGGAAAGTGACAAGACAAGCCACCAAGTCCACGACTCAAACTGTGACTGGCGATGGGGGAGGGTCCACCACCTTAGCCACACACCATCAGCTGGGCCCTAGTTTTAACTATTTGTGGAATGTACAATCCTGTGGCACTAAGTACATTTAAAATTTATATCATTGGGCAGTCATTCACTGCTATCCATCTATGAAAATTTTTATTATCCCCAACTGAAATTCTGTATCTATTCTTTCAGCCCCTCCCCAAGTCCCTATTTAACTCGAGGTCTCTAAAAATTTGACTGTTGTAGGTACCTCATACAGTTGGAATCATACAGTGTGTGATTTTATGATTGGCTTATTTCACTGATCACAATCGTTTGAAGTTTCATTCATCTATTGATAGATACTTATGTTGATTCCATATTTTGTCTATTGTGAATAGTGCTTAAATAAACATGGACATGCAGATACATGCTTATTTCATTTATTTAGGGTATACAACCACTGTGGGATTGATGAATTATACAGAAGTTATATTTTTAATTATTTGAGGAAACCCCATGCTGTTTTTCACAGTAGCTACACTAATTTATACTCCCACCAATAGTGTATGGGGGTTCACATTTCTACACATACTTAACAAATTTGTTATCTTTTGTCAAAAATTAACAATATCTTGAGAGGTTTTTCGCTATAGGGCGTGTGCGCTCGCCAGACAGACAGAGAAAGACATAAAGACAGCAAGCGAGAAAGCACCCCCAGGGGGGATGGTCGCGCCGCAATCCCTTCTCCTCCATTCTCCTCTTGGGATCTTGGGCATGCACGCACATGCGCCCGGCGTGAGTTTTAAGCCACCGGGTCCGGGACGTGAACCGCGGTCAACTACGTGGGAGTCCAGCAACATAGGCATTACACTAACTGCTGGTTCCCAACAATATCTATTTTAAATGGAGTGAGATGATGTCTCATGATTTCGATTTGCATCGTCCTTATGAGTAGTCATATTGTATAAATATTATATACATGTTGCCATTTGCATCTTCTTGAGAGATACATATTTAAGCCTTTTGCTTGTTTTTTAATCAGGATTTTTAGTTTGACTGTTTTCTGTTGAGTTGTTTGTGTTTCATATATATTTTGAATTAACTTTGTCAGATATAGTGTGCAAATTTTTTCTCCCATCCCTAGGTTGTATCTTCACTCTGTTGTTTTCTTGTTGCAGAAGCTTTTTAGTTTGATGTAATCCTATTAACCTATTCTGTTTTGTTGCCTATGCTTTTGAGTTTTTGCCCAAAAAATTCTTGCCTAGATTAATATCATAGAGTCCCTGAATATTCTTCTAGTAGTTTTATAGTTTCAGTTTCAGTTTTATAAGACAGACAGAAAGAGACAGAGGGATAGAAAGCAAGAAATCCCTCCCCAGGGGGGATGGCCATGCCGCAATTTTCTCCTTCATTCTCCTCTTGGGATCTTGGGCACACAAGCGCACACACCCGGCATTGAGTTTAAGCCACTGGGTCCAGGACTCGAACCGCCGTTGACCAATGGGAGTACAGCAGCATAGCCATTACACCAATTGCTGGTCCTTTCATTTGAATTTTATATGTGGTGAAATACAAAGACCTAGGTTAATTTTCCTACATGTGGATATCCAGTTTTCTCAGCACATTTGCTAAAAGTTTCCTCAATATAAGTTATTGGTGCTTTTGTCAAAAAACTGTTGACTGTAAGAAAGTAGCCTTATTTCTGGCTTTTCTATCGCATTCCCTTTGTCTATATGTATATTCTTATGCCACTACCGTACTGTTTTGGTTTCTTTTTCTTTCCTTTTTTTTTTTTTTTTTTTTGCGCTATAGGACACGTGCACTCGCCAGAAAGACAGAGAGAGACAGAGATAGAAAGCAAAAAATCACCCCCCGAGTGGATGGCCATGCCGCAATCCCTTTTCCTCCATTCTCCTCTCGGGATCTTGGGCATGCATGCACACACACCTGGCGTGAGTTTAAGCCACCGGGTCCGGGAATTGAACTGCAGTCAATTACATGGGAGTCCAGCGACATAGCCATTACACTAACTGCTGGTCTCCTGTTTTGGTTTCTATAACTTTGTGGTATATCTTGAAGTCACATATGGAAAATTTCAGAATAAACAATTTATATGTTTTACATTGTGGGCTGTTTTGAGTAGTGTGATGAAATATCATTCCATCTTGCCTGGGATGCCAATTGTCCTTTTATTCAGTGTATCTACCCTTTAATGACTTAGAAGTTGTCCTAGCTGTCAGTTAGGAGAAACATCATATGTGTAGGGTTTGTAGCATATACTATTTCAGTCATCCACGGGTGGTCTTGGAATGGAAAGTGAGACTTACAATTAATAGATTACAGTATGCATAATAATATCAAGAAAAATAGTTATCCTATGGAATTTAGGCATTTATATCAGAAATTAATAAGATGATTGAAACTGATAATATTTTATTTATGTTTCAGATATGTAATAATTTTGGCAATTGTCAATGTTTTCTTGGCCATAAGCCTCCAGACTGTGAACCCCAGATCGGCTCACCAGGAGGCAGTATTGATGATGGAAGTGTTCAGGAGTCTGGTGGGTAGAAATTAAACTTTAATCAGAATGGAATGCTGTTTTATATGGAGTTAAGTTAAAAAAATCAACTGCTGATTCAAATGTTTGATGAACTTCTGAGTAACTCAATGAGTTATGAATAGTGACTATATTTAAATTAATGTTATACAATATTTGTAATAAAAAATCTTTAAGTAGATTGACTATGAGTGTGCATGTGTGTGTGAGAGAGAGAAAGAAGATCTGAAAAACAAAATCAGAAATAAAAGAAAGACATTCCAGCAATTGATACCATGGGGCTAGGATGTTATACAGCAATGTAACAGTAACACATGATGTTCTGTGAGGCTGATCTGCGTGGAAAGGTTCCAGGTTCATGACCTCCCTGAGTATACCTGATATGCATGTGCCCTTGATCTGGGGCTGACTAAGCAGGGGGTGGATCATGGCATCAAGTCCCTGTCTGGGATACTTTCTCCCTTCTCTCTTTCTCTCTCTCTCAAGTTCTCAGAAGAAATAAGTGAAAATAAAGTTTTAAAATATCAGAAATACAAGGGTCATTAGAGACTATTATGATCACTATTCACTAGCAAACTAGAAACCCTAGGCAAAATGAATAAATTCTTGGATGTGTACCACCTACAAAAGCTGAACCAAGAGGAAATTAAAACCCTGAACTGAACAGTAATATATAAGATTGAATGTGTAATAAAAAGTCTCTCAACAATAAAATAAAGCCAAGGATCAGACAGCTTCATGCTAAATTTTATAAAATTTTTCTTTTACTTTTTTTTTTTAAGAGAGGTTTTTGCTATAGGATGTGCACACTCACCAGAGAGACAGGGTGAGACAGAGAGACAGAAAGTAAGAAATCATCCCCCAGGGGGGATGGCCACGCCGCAATCCCTTCTCCTCCATTCTCCTCTTGGGATCTTGGGCACGCACGCACATGCTCCTGACATGAGTATAAGCCACCAGGTCCGGGACTTGAACTGTGGTCGACTACATGGGAGTCCAGCGACATAGCCTTTATGCTAACTGCTGGTTCCAAATTTTATAAACTTTTAATGAGGACGTAGCCATCCACCCGGGGGGGGGGCAATTTTTCGCTTTGTGTCTTTTTGTCTCTCTCTGTCTCTCCAGTGTGCTCACATGCCTATAGCAAAAGTCTCTCTCTTAAAACATACAAATGAACAAAAACAAACAGAGTTGAAAACATCACATGAATGAACTTTTAACTTACTACAAAGCTATGGTAAATAAGCAGCATGTTGCTGTTGTAGAAGCAGACATATAAACCAGTGGAACAGAACAGAGGACCCAGAAAGAAATCCACATATGTACTGCTGACCAGTATCTGCCAAAGGTATTAATAACACTTTGGGGAAAGACAGTCTCTTCAACTAATGATACTGGGAAAACTGTAGTTGCACATGCAGAAAAATAAAAATCACTCCTACCTATCACCACATACAAAAACTAACCCAAATGAGTCAAAAACTTAAATGTAAAGTACTAGTAAATAAATTTAGCCAGAAAATATTTGATTTGTATACTGGAAACTTCAAGCCACCCTGAAATAAATTAAAGAAGATATAAATAAATGGAGAGGCATTTCATCTTCACAGATTGGAAGAGTCACTGTTGTGAAGCATGGTGCTTCCCCAGTGTTTTCATACATACAAGAAAATTCCTGTCAAAATCACCCAGTAGGCTCTTTTATAGAAATTGACAAGCTGATTATAAGCTTTATTTAAAAATGTAAAGGGGGAGCCAGCAGGTGGCACGGTGATTAAGGTACTGGACTCCCACGTGACCCACTACGGTTTGAGTCCCAGACCTGGTGGCTTGCTTTCTTACTTTCCCTCTCTTTCTCTCTCTCTCTCTCTGGTTAGTGCATGTGCCCTATAATAATTAAACAAAATAAATAAATAATAAAGAACTCCTTAAAAAAATGTAAAAGATTCAGAATAGCCAGGTGAGTTTGCAGAAGAGCAACGTTAGAGAAAGTACACCGCCCAATTCGGAAAGCGGCAATATTTAAGTCAGCGTGGCTCTGCCATCTGCACAGACATGAAAGTCAGTGGAACAGAAGAAAGAGCCAGAAATAGACAAGTATGTGGAAAATTGATTTTCAATTTAAGTACAGAGAAATTTTTAAAAAATGTAAAAAAAAACAGAGTATGAGTAGTTACGTAATGCCAATGATAGGGGCACATACACACATCCCATGCACACACCTACGTGTATATATAGACACAGATACAGATATAAGAGTTAAAGATGGGCTTTCTATATGCATAAAATATAAAGGCATAAAGGAAGATACTTGAGGTCTTTAACAATGGGTTCATCCAAGCAGAAAAACTCTGTTTAAGCAAGGACGTAGCACGGGGATTTCTCATGGTGTTTTTTGTTTTGTTTTGTTTTGTTTTGTTTTTGTTATTTACCATAGAGTGCTGGAGAGAAACAGAGAGAAGGAAAATGAGAAATCCTGCAAGGGGCTGGCTATCCCACAATCCCAAGTCCTTCATTCTTCTCCTGGGATTTTGGGCACACACACACATTTGCCTCGCATGATTTTCAAGCCACCAGGTCTGGAACTCACACTGTGGTCAGCTGGGTGGGAGTCCAGTGCCTAAAACACCATGCTACCTGCTGACCCCACAGTGTATATTTTTAAAAATACTTTAACTCAGGACCAACAGTTGGTGTAATGGCTATGTCGCTGGACTCCCACGTAGTCTACCGCGGTCTGAGTCCCAGACCCGGTGGCTTAAACTCACGCCGGGCACATGTGCGTGCGTGCCCAAGATCCTGAGAGGAGAATGGAGGAGAAGGGATTGTGGTGTGGCCATCCCCTGGGGGGTGATTTCTTGCTTTCTGTCTCTCTGTCTCTCTGTCTTTCTGGTGAGAGCACGTGCCCTATAGCAAAAATCTCTCAAAAAAATAACTTTAACTGAACTGCTATTATCATATTAGCTTTTAAGTTATCAATGTTACAAATAAGCTGAATAAAGCAAATACTCAAAATTGTATATAGAGCCACAACAGTTAAACATACATGTGGAAAACTCAGAAAACTATGGAAAAAGTAGTATTGTAAGTTTTGGATTATGAGCCTAATGTTCCTTTATTTTTCCCTTAATAGTTTTCAAAGTATTAAATTTTCAAATATTATATATACATACAAATATGATTAAAATAAGAAAAATATAAATTTACATAAATATCCCCACTCACATCTGATACGTTTCATTTCTAGATATGTTTCTCACTAAAAAAGGCTCCCATGCACATCGTAACAACTGGTTTATTCTGAGTTTCTACATTTCTCTGCCATTTCTCATAATGTTCACAATTGTGATTGCTAGGAGAAATGAATTGAAAGCATCATGTAACAGAAAGAAGGCAGAATATAAGGGGTAAATACGGTTTAAATAATTTATTAGGCTAAATTGTGCTGGTTAATGACTAGTGTCAGAAATTCATACTTATATTACATTTTATTTGTTATATTTATTCCTAAGGATTTTCTATTTTTAATTATATATATGGAATTTTTGCAATTTTGTTTTCTAATTGCTTTTGTTATTATGTTTATATATATATGTGTTTATATATATAAGTGTATATATATTTGTATATATACATTTACAGACATATATACACACACACACACACACACACAAATGCATATATGGGAAAGTCAAAAATATTGACTGTATTTGAACTTTTTCTGATGCACATTTTACACTGTACTGGGGACTTAAGTTAGAGAAATACGTATCATGCATCATTTTAAGGTTCCTTCTGGTTAAATCTAAATTATGCATTGATGTTGACTTTCTTCTTGAAAAACTTTTTTTCCCATCCAGAAATTGTGATAAAATCTTAAATAGTGGTTGGTTTTGTGGCCTGATGATTAAGGGAGCCTGATCCCACATGGTTGACTGCAGTTCAAATCCCAGCCACTGTGGCTCAGAAATATGTCAGGCATTTGTGGTGTGTATGTGTCCCAAATCTCAACAGAATTTAGAAATGAAGGGGAATGTATTTCAGTGTGACCACACCCCCTGGGGAGGGGGGATTCTCTTTCTCTTTGTTTTTCTAGTTAATGAACATGCCCTGTGGTCATGACACAATCCCTCTCCTCCATTTCCCTTTCAAGATTCTTGGACATACATACACATGTGCCCAGCATGAATTTTAAGCCACCATGTCCAGGACTCAAACCATGGTGAGCCATGCAGGAATCCAGGGCCTTAACCACCAGTCCACCTGCTAGTCCATGCCCTGTTTATCTTTCATCTTTTGTAGAAGATGTTTGTGTATATGGTTTATTCATGCTTTTTACCTATACATAACCATCCTCTGGATTCCTATTAAATTTGTAGAGTAATTAGAGAATTTATAGTTTAAACTATTATATTTACTTATCCTGGAATGCATATAACAGGAATAAGTTAAATATATAAAATGACTCTTTAATCACATAATGATCTAATAATGTTAACTTGAATCAATAGCCTAAATTTGCACATGAATTCTAGAAAATGCACAAAAGCACATATGAAAGTTGACTACGTGGGAGTTCATAGACGTAACCATTATGCCATCTGCTTTTCCCTCTTTGTCCATTTTTGAATCAAGTTATTTGCTTTCTTGCTATTCAGTTATATAACTAACATATATATTGTATATATTAACCTCTTATCAGATGTATGGTTTACAAATACTTTTTCCTATTCCAGAGCTCCCTTTTAATTTTGTTGATTTTTTTCTTTTGCTGGTCAGAAATTTAAAAAAAAAATGTTTTCTAAAGTTTTTATCTTTCACGAATGAGAGACAGAGAGAAATGGAAAAAAAGAACCCACAGTAGAGGTCTCATGCCACAATCTTCCCCCAAGCCTTCTCAGCCAGCTTGTTTAATTTTTTTTTAAGTTTTCATTTTTTTAAGAATTATTTTATTATTTATTTGAACTTGACCAGAGAGGGGGAGAGAGAGAGAGAAAGAGAGAGAGAGAGAGAGAGAGAAAGAGAAAAAGCAAGCCATCCGGACCCGGTCTGGGACTTGAACCACGGTCAGCCATGTGGGAGTCCAGAGCCCTTAACCACCATACCACCTGCCGGCCCCACACCCAGCTTGTTAGTACCAGGAGCACAAATGCAAAAAGGGTCAAATTAATAATTTTATGTGTGGACATTCAATTTACTCAACACTATTCATTGAAGAGACTATTCTTTCCCAACTACTTATTCTTGGTGCACTTGTCAAAATTTAATTTGACCATATAGGTATAGATTTACTTTTGGACTCTCTTTGGTAGCCCATTAATTTATGTTTGTTTTTATGCCAGTACTAGACAGTTTTGAATGCTATACTTTTATACTATAATTTGAATCAGAAAATAGAATGCTTCAGTTTTTTTGTTTGTTTGATTTGTTGTTGTTGTTCAAAATGCCTTGGCCAATCTGAAGTCTTTTGTGGTTTCCTCTTGATTTTATATGTATTTTTTCTATTTCTGTGAAAAATTCCATAAAAGATTTTGATAAGGATTACATTGAGACTGTAAATTGCTTTAGGAATTATGGACATTTTAGCAATAGTAAGTCACCCAATTCATGAATGTTGGATATCTTCCTATTTATTTGTGGCTATTTTAATTTCTCTATTTTATAATTTTCATGTACAAATTGTTTACTGCCTTGGTTAAATTTATGCCAATTTTTTTACTGATATTATTCTAAATGAGTTGGTTATTAAATTTCTTTTTCAGATAGTTCATTGTTATTAAAGTGAATCAGAATTTTTATAGATTGATTTTGTATTCTGAACCTTCACTAAATTTGTTATTAGTCACAATATGTTTTTGGTGAAATCTTTAGGTTTACATACATATAACAAAATCATGTCTGCCAACAGTCTATTTTACTTCTTTTCAATTTAGATGTCTTTTATTTCTTTTTCATGCCTAATTGTTTTGGCTAGTCCTCTGGTACAGTGTTGAATAGAAGTGGTCCAAGTGATCATCCATGTCTTATTCCGGATCTGAGAGGCAGATTGTTCAGCTTTTCACCATAGAGTAGAATTTTAGCTGTGGGCTTCTCGTATGTCGTCTTTACTATGTTGAAGTACTTTCTTTGCACACTGACTTTGTCAAGAGTCTTTATCATGAAAACATGTTGAATTTGGCTAAATGATTTTGCGACATCTATTAAGAAAATTGTATATCTTTTGTCCTTCATTCTGCTAATGAGGCCAGTCACATTTACTGATTTCTGTATGTTTAACCAGGCTTGTATTCAAGTGACTACCTTTCACTTCTTCCTGGTCTATCATTTTTTTAATGTACTTTTGAATTTGGTTTTCTGGTATATTACTGAGGATTTCATGTCTATATTTATTGGAAACATTGTCTTGTAATTTTCTTTGCTCATAATATGCTTGTCTGGCTTTGCTATCAGGGTAGTGGTAGCCATATCAAGTGAATGTAGGGACAGAGAATTCTATCTTCTCTGTGAGGGATATGTTTCAAGACATTCATGGGATGCCTGAAGCCACGGATACTAGCGAACCCTACACATAGAATTAACTGTTGATGTTTTCATTGCTTGTGTATTGGGCCTGAGACTTAAAATAAAAATCTTTTTTTTTCTTTTTCTTTTGGAGAGGTTTTTGCTATAGGGCATGTGCGCTCGCCAGACAGACAGAGACAGAGAGATAGAAAGTGAGAAATCACCCCCTAGAGGAGATGGTCAAGCTGCAATCCCTTCTCCTCCATTCTCCTCTCGGGATCTTGGGCACGCACGCACACACGTCCGGCAAGAGTTTAAGCCACCGGGTCCGGGACTCGAACCACGGTTGACTACGTGGGAGTCCAGCGACATAGCCATTACGTTAACTGCTGGTCCCAAAAATCTTGTAGTAAATATACATAAACCTAGCTATAATTATAATGGGTGATCAGCTGCTACTAAACATATTATGAATTTGTTTTCTGTTTTCCTTCACTACAGTAATTCAACCATTGTACCAGAAAGTTATGATGTGAAATATTAATATTGCCAAGAACTTCACCAGCAAATAGCCTAGAGAAGAAAATGTGCTTTATAATTCTTATGTTACCCCTAAATGCAGCTGAAATGTCAGCGTTTTGGAAAATAAAGCCCATGTGTGCAAAAGAGCAAGCATCCATGTGCCTCTGCGTGGGCAGTGAGCTGTGTATGGCTGTGGGTCGGCATAATGGGGTTGCAAATGATGCTATTCACAGACCTGGGGCATGGCCTGGGCAGGGTCTCTATGTCCTCCTACTCCCTCTGACCTTGTGTCCTCTCTGCCTCCCCCATGGATCAGTGGCCACAGCTGCCTCCATTGTTCCTCCCCAATGGCCATCATCGTGGCCAGTAGGTCATGCAGTGCTGTCTCTTTTGCTGTTCCTCATAGGCCTGGGCCAGCTGACCTCTGAGGACCCAAGTAAGTGAGGCACCTGCTGGACAGGATGGGTGCTGTTTTCGATGTCAGCCTTCTGAGTCCAGAAGCTCAGGTCAGAGTGGGGAGGGGCTCATCAGAGCCCGCCCAAGTCTAGGGGGCCTGGATACTGCTGGACAGGGCTCTGAGGGCTCAGCACCAAACTGGAACAGCCACCCTCACTTACCTGACCCTGCACCAGAGGGTGTATCTCTGGGGGGGGCAGGAATGAGAGAGCTGGGATGACGGGAACCTACAACCCACACTTCTCCTGCCCAGGACTGAGCTCACCCGGCCCTGAGGTGTCTCTGGACAGTGGTGGGAATTCTCCTTCTCCTAGGGGAGCCTCTTCCTGGAAGTGGACAGAGTATAGGCTGGTGTGTGTGTGTGTGTGTGTGTGTGTGTGTGTGTGTGTTGGGACTTGTGAATTTAAAGAGTGACCGGAGAAGAGAGGACAAGTGAAGAAAGAGGCTGTGCTGTGCACAGGAGAAAGCTTGGTATACTTCCCTCATTGCAGGATCTGAAAGACGACTTCTGCACATCACGGTGCCTCAGAGGGCTGAGACGGCCACCACGGACAGTGATGATCCAGAAGCTCATGTAAGAAAGAAGTTAATTCATTTTAAATTATGCTTTTTTCCTGTACTACATGGCCCTAAGCGACTCATACACATCCCTTCATGAAATTTTGTTTGTATGCTAATTTACTGTGCCAAAGAATCATTTGTTCTGAATGAGTGGATGATTATCATTATGTTTTCATCTACCAAGTAATATTGTATATGAATATTATGTAATGATGTGAAACACAGACCTGGGAAAACATCCCTGATAGTCCTGTCACACACATGGACATATTCAGTCTACAGAACTCCTGTCCAGAAAACAAGTGCATTTAAATATCAATTCTTATGTGAGGCCATACTAACATTTACCTTATTATGTGATTTTAAAATGACAATATATTAAGAGTATCTTCATGTCTACATATGCATACGTACATATAAACCTTGGTTGTTAGTGATTATGTTATTTCCTTATGGTTGTTCATTTTCATGATTCCTCTATTTTATAATCTCTAGTTTTCTACTGGTGGCTAGAAATGACACTTGATATGATTTAATTTTTAAAGTTGTTAAGATTTGTTTTGTTTAATATTTGGTCTGTTTGGACAGTGTTTCACGTGTGCTAGAGAACGTGTCTTCTGCTGCCGTCGGGTGGAGTGCTATGTCTGCTAGGTTCAGTCGAGTGTCGCTAACGTCCAATATTTACTTTTTTCTTTTCTATTTGGTTGATCTATTTATTGTTGAAAGTGAGATGTTGAACTACTTTATGGAGACTGAATTTCTCCCTTCAGGTCTGTTAATATCCACGATAGACTTTTACCTGCTCCGATGTTGGATGCATACACAATTACAAATGTTACGATTCTTAACATATTGATCCCTTTATTATAATACAATGGCCTTCTTTGGGTCTTTTGAATGTTTTTGACTTGAAGTCTATTTTGTCTCATGAATACGTCCATGCTTAGTCTGTTTTGGTTACTATTTCCAAGTATGTATATTTTTTCCAACACTTCACTTTGAGTCAGTTTGTCCTTAAAGGTTAAATAAGTCTCTTGTTGGCAGCATATAGTGGGATCTTTATTTCCTTAATTAATTCAGTCATTTTATGCCATTTGATTGAAGAATGTAACCCATTTAATTTCAGCGAATCGGTAGGTAAGGACTCACTCTGCCATTTTGTTAATTATTTCCCACCTGTTTTGCAGATCCTTTGTTTTGTTCTTCTTGTCTAATGTTCCTTTCTTACGAGTCACTTTTCTCTTGATGTTTTTAAGATTCATCTTTGACTTTTGACAGTTTGATTATAGCGTACCTCCAGAAAGATTGTTTTGGGTCTTTTTAAAATGATTTGGGAAGGGGGCTGGCAGGTGGCGTGGTGGTTGAGCTGCTGGATTCCCACATGGCCGACCATGGTTTGAGTCCTGAACCTGGCGTCTTGCTTTCTCACGCTCCTTTTCTCTCTATTTATCTCTGGTCAACTTTAAAAAATGATAATAACAAATAAAGTTAAATAATTATTTTAAAAATTATTTTGGGGACCAGATGGCATAATGGTTATGTTGCTGGACTCCCACATAGTTGACTGCAGTTCAAGTTGTGGACCCAAAGGCTTAAAACTCATGCCTGGTGTGAGAACATGCATGCCCCAAATCCTGAGAGTAGAATGGAGGAGAAGGGACTGTGACATGGCTATTCCCCCTGCTGGGGGTGGGGGGGGGGCGGCGATTTCTTGCTTTCTGTCTCTCTTTTTCTGTCTCTCCAGAGAGCACATGCTTCCTATAGCAAAAATCTCTCTCTCAGAAAAATATTATTTGGATTTATTGAACTTTTTACAACTCTATGTCCATTTTCCTCCTCATATTTCTAAGGTTTATGACCATTACTTTGCAAAATAATGTCTTTCATTCTTAGTTGTCTTCACCTTTTGGAACTCCCATAAATGCTTTTGTTGATCTGTTTGATAGTATCTCATAAGACCATAAACTCTCTTCATTTTCTTCTTTATTTTCCCTTTCCTCTTCTGATTCAACTATCTTAAATGACCTGTCTTCTATTTCACTGATTCTTCTTCATGCCTGATAGTGTACAATTTGAACCCCTCTAGTAAATCAGATCTAAGACTATTTATAATAAAAACTCTCACAATCTAGGAATGAAAAGTAACTTCCTCACTTCGAAAGAACATCTGCAAGAAACTGTTTTAAATGTATGAATACTGACAAACAGGAGTGGTGAAGCAGCTAAGAGGCTGCTGAGTACACAGGAATCGTGGTAGGAGGGCAGGATGGGATAAGAGGAAAACCACAGAAAAGGTTTAAGATATTTGACAGGTTTTGAGCCCATAGAGGCACTGACAGGATGTTTTGGGGTTAGAGTAAAGGAGAAACTGTGAACTTCAGCATTTCCGACAGAACAGGTAGTGTGGCTCCTTTCAGTAGTGACAGGAAGGCCCAGATGGGTATTAAGGTGAGGCAGTGGGAAATGAGTTGGGTTTTGAACTCGTGCCTGTGGGACACCTGTAGGAAAGGCATAGAGGCCTTGTGGGAACACTCTTCCTCTGCAGATAAAAGCATGCAAAATAATAGTAACTTTTTTCTAGTTCCTGACCTATTTATATTGTTCTTTCCCTCTCTGTTTTCTTGGTGACTCTTATCCATGTAGAATGTAGACACTTTGTAAGTGAAACAAAGAACTTGCCAATTAATGACATTGCTTTTTATGTTGAGTGTCACAACAAATTATTCATGAAAAGATACTTGGATTTGTAAATTTCATGGCGCTCCGGCTTAGGTTGTGACATGATAACTGAGAACTGACTATACTGGTTAATTTCTGTACCTGTAGATGCTTTATTAAAATTAGATAGCTTTTATCAACAACAAAGATGCAACATTTCTATTTTTCTATATTTCTTTTACAGCAGTCAGTACAGGATAGTATCAAAAAGCCATGAATTAGAGAAAGAGTATTACCCAGAAACTCATCAATAACTGGCCTGAATGAAACTTGGTCTTGAGAAGGTCTTCAACAAACACTTTTTCCTGAAGAATGAAAAAAACAAAAAACAGAAAAAAACAAAAAACACCTGTTTTCTCTCCTCCTGTTATGGTTGAAAGCTTTCCATTCCACAATCAAAAATAAATCCTGTGACTGAAAGTCTGCAAGCTTGTGTCTATGGATTCTTCTACCCGCCATGAGCCTTAGGAAGAGAACAGCTGTGCGTCTTGTTCACCTTGCAAGCTGTTCCGTACCAAGCTGGCGGTGTCCCATTGTCCACTGTTCCTGCCCTCCCCTAGGTGCTCGAGGCCATGCTGACCACTCCTGGATGAAGAGAGGACACCCATGGCCTGTAGTTGTCATGGTTCCCCTGCCCTGTTCACCCCAGGCTTTGGGAGATCAAAAGAAAACCTGCTGGATAAGGCCAACCCCAGAACCCCCAGAAATCACTGGCATCCATTCTACCTCAAAGGAATTGCCCAGATTGATGTCTTGATCATACACACCTGTCCCACCACCTTGGCCTCCTGTAAACTGAGATCTAAAATATTTTGTGAAGTTTTAGAGAAACTCAAACTTGCTTTGTTTTCCCTGTGATTGAGTTTTCCTGGAAATAGTGTTCTCCTCTGAGCTTCTGCTCCCCACCCCATCGCTGGTCTGTAGGCACGGCTACAAATCTCACGGTCTGACATGAGTCAGGAAGCCATCAGCCCATGTGTATTTTGACCAGGACCTACAGAGTCTTCATCAAAAGACAGAGATGGCTGCAAGCCAGCCCGAGCACAGCAAGTAAGCAATATGCATTGGAAGCCGGGTCTCACATGCCGGTGGGGGATGTATCTCCTCCTCTGGAGGCTAGAAAAACATGCTAGGCCCAGGTATGTGCGTGCCCCAGAGTCCTGACGGGATGGAGAAATGGGAGAGAAAATTGAGGTGTTTCTTCCCCCTATTAGGGGGTACTTTCTCTCTGTGGTGAGCACATGTGCCCTCTGGCAATAAAATCGAAACAACAAAAAGATGCTCCTAGTCATGAGTGGAAGAACTTCGTCTCAGAGGCCAAGAATTTCCTTTTCCAAAAGCCCATCAGCTGATAAGTGGATAAAACGTGACATAAACATACACTGGTATATTATTTAGCCACAGAAAGGAATGAAGCATATGCTACAATATGGTGAAACATTGGAGCCATTATACGACAACTCTAAAGACGAAAACGAATTTATTGTTTATTTCGAGGCGTGTAGGTGGGAGATGAAAAGCTGACGGTGGGACTATAAGATACAGATTTCTTTCTGAGGTGATGAAACTAATGGAACCTTTTCTGTAATAATGGTTGCAAATGGCAATATCCTAAAATCAATCGTACACATTAAGTGGGTGAAATGAATTGTGTGGTATGTGAATTATGTTTCATAATGATGTGAATTATGAAGTACCCAGCAGATCCCAGCTGTAGGTCTTTGGTATTTGTTGGTCCCTGCAGTAAGGTGTACTGGGGCAGGAGAGGCTTGGCTGAAGTGGAATGGAGCATGAGTCAGGTTTTGGACATAAGCAATTAAAGGCATGTCAGAAAGTGCAAGGACACAATTGCCAACTCTGTCTTCCACAATGGAGTGGCTTTTCCTTCCTCCTTTGTCTTACTGCCCTTCACACCTCGCTCGCCACAGGAACCTCTGGGTCTCAGCAACACACTTGGACTCTACTATTTTGTTGAGATTTTTGGTATAGGGTGCATGCGCCCACTGGATAGACAGACAGAAAGCAAGAGATCAACCGCCAGAGGGAATGGCCATGGTGCAATTTTGAGTAAGCACGCACATGCACCTGGCCTAAGTTTCAAGTTGCCAGGTCTGGGACTCAAACAGTGGTCAGCCATGGGGGAGTCCAGCAATGTAACTGCTACGCCACCTGCTGGTCTCATAAAGCCTTTTTCTCTCTGTTAAACTCAGATGTTTTCAGCTGATTCTGAGGCTTTTTGAGAGACAGGTTTATGCTTTTAACCTAATACCTAACATTTTCTAAACCTATCTATACCATAGGTAAGCCCCTACTTACAGCCCAATAGGGCAGCTCCGTGTTGAAGTACAGTTTTGCTCTTATCTTCTGGTCTCAGAGCTAAGTGAAACAGCTGTTGTTCCTGAGCCCCTTGGCACACTCTCTCAGAGCTACCAGAGCTCGTGCTCTTGGGACATGGTCGCTCTCAATTTTGGCTATGAATAAACTCTTTTAGGCATTTTTAGAGTTTGGATATTTCTGCTGACAACCAAAGACTGTAACAATGTAGTATTTCAATTTAAAACAACATAGTATTTCAATTTAAAATAAAACAGTGGCCTTTAATCATGAGACAACATTTATTATAACTTTTCCTTATGTCTGCTGACGAACAGAAGTGTGGGGTCACGGTCAAAACAAGAAATATGCAAAGTAAAACTCATAATCATGCATTTCTTATAAATGAGCTATCTGTGGACATGCAAATATTCCATATGGATATAAATGTATATATTAAGATCATCTTTTCTAGTCAGATTACAATCAGAATGTGCAGGCGTGAATCCCAAGAAATCAGGTAATGCCAGTTTTCTTTCTCTCTCTTTTTTTTTTTTTCCATTTTTTTCTGTCCATTGCAGATAATTACTCTGGAGAAATGAATAAAGGAAAAAAGTCACCTGTAACACTCAACAAGTTAAAATTATGGATAATCAACAATTAGCCTGAGAGTAGGCATCTATCATATAATTTATTTTTAATCAACATTATGAACATAAAAAATGTGACAGGTTGACACTTCAGAGAAAGCAATTCAGAAGATAACACTGCGAGACATTTTTTAAAGTGAAAAATGCCATGTCATTTATGACGGTACTCTGTCTACGATATAATTTATAATATTGAACAATCTTTGCCAATGTATTTGATCCTCCTAGATAACTGTTGGGCCTCAAAAACAAATGTCTCAAAGACTGGGGCTTTGACACGTTGACTCAGAGAAACGACCCCAGAACCGAAGTCTTTCTGGCACTTTCCCACTCCCTGCCTCTCAGTCATCTTTGATCGTTTTCCCAAAGTGCAGGGAAGGATGTTTTTTTCGGTGTCCTATAGCATGGCCCCCTCCCTGCAGTTTCATTAGCTAAGCTCACACTGAGACAAGAATGAGGCATGGGAACACAGCACGACACATCACGTCACAAACTAGTGTCAGTCTTCCAGGCCCGCCCTGCCCAGAATCATCGTTTACTCACCAGTGTCTGAGCCTTGGACCCATTCCTTCTGCTCTAAACCTCATTTACCCTAAAACTGCCCATACCATCTCCTCTCCAGTGTCCTTGCTCGTAAGAGCACAGTATTTAAACCACCGTCATCACACTGTTCTGAGTCCTTACATTTTTGTGGTTTCTGTGTGCAAAACGCAGCCATGAAAAAGAGATCTATATGCCTTTTCTCTTGTTTTCTGCCTACTGTCAGTGATTTTTAGCAGAACCTTCAAAAAGAGGGGGAGGATTTCCCTTGCCTCTATAAAACTAACAGTTTAATGTATGCATCTTTATGTTATTTCTGATTTATCTAATCCATGATATTCCTCTTCTCTGTGTGTCTCTCACATCTTTAACGCATTTGAAACTCACTGTTACAGCATGGAATCTCTGTTGTCCAGGCTACTCTTTGGATTCGCATTCACTTTCAAGTTGCCTAAATATTTAAAAATAAAAATAATCACTCAAAATTATATTTTCCTCAACAGTTCTCTGCAAAAACCTTGTACTCTCTATATTGTTCGGTATAGAGATATACAATGATTAACTGTAAATAAGAAACCATAAAATAAGAAGTATTAATTTGACTATAAAAACAACTCTGTACTCTCAATATATATATATATATATTTAGAGGTTTTTGTTATAGGGCACGTATGCTCGCCAGATGGACAGAGAGAGACAGAGAGATAGAAAGTGAGAAATCACCCCCAGGGGGGATGGCCACGCCACAATCCCTTCTCCTCCATTCTCCTCTCAGGATCCTGGGCACGCACGCACATGCGTCTGGCATGAGTTTTAAGCCACCGGGTCCGGGACGCAAACCGCGGTTGCCTACATGGGAGTCCAGTGACATAGACATTACGCTAACTGCTGGTCCCCTTCTCTCAATTTTAATAAATTGCCTTTTTAAGGAAATCACCCATTTCTTTAAATTATATTTACGGGTATATAAAGCTTTCATAAGACTCTGAAAACCAGTTCACAAATGGTAAACATATCCTTTTGTTTAAGCCACCAGGTCTGGGACGCGAACCATGGTCGACTACATGGGAGTCCAGCGACATAGCCATTATGCCAACTGCTGGTCCTAGTACTCTCAATATTGAAACAGCTTTGGTTCTTTCCTGGAGACCTGAGAGCAGCCATTGCTTGGTAATACCCTACCACTGAGACCACCTCTCATCTCCTACTGAAGACTAACAATGCACTTCCTTGCATCCCCCAAATATGATAAAAACATATTAATATAAGTTTACCTGAAAGTAAAATTTCACACCATTTTCACATTCATTATGTTATAGGTTAATTACTTTTAGACATTTTTTGCCATTCATCTTTAAACCTATTTATTTCTATTAATTTTACTAGCTAGCTACATTTTTTGCCAAAGCTTTTTATTTTTTAATTTCAGTTTTTGCATAGGGCGTGTGTGCTCATCTTAGAGAAACAGGGAAAATGAAAAATCACTCCCTAGGGAGGAAGGCCACAGCACAGTCCCCACTGCTCTAGTCTCCTCTAGGGATTTGGTGCACACATGTATGTATAATCAATGTGATTTTCAAGCTGCTAGGTCTGGAATTCGAACCACACAGTCAACTCTACGGGATCCAGAGACTTAACCTCCATGCATCTGCCAGCCCTCTCCAAAGATAATCTATGTAAGTTTTCAACAATAAAGTTATCCAGTACAAGAAAATTCTGTTTTATATTTAGGTATTAATTAAAACTATTTTATATGAGTTGCACATAATTTTAAGCAATTTTGCATCAATTTATCAAAACATTTCTTTAAAATTTAGCCCATTTTAATTTATATTATCTTATTAATATAATTATTTCTAATAAAACTCAATACTTTTTAAGAAAAATAAAACCACATGTATATAGGTAAAAAGCATAAACTATTTTGTAGCAATGTCCCTGAAGACATGCAAATCAATTTTAATATTCATTTTAGTTCTCATCACACATTTTCAGATATTTCTATTTTTTAAAAGAATAATTTCATTTAACTTTATTTATTTATTTCTTTTAATTTGGACCATCGAGGGACAGAGTGAGAGAGAGAGAGGGGGAGACAGAGAAAGTGAGAAGGCAAGCTGCCAGGTCCAGGACTTGAACTGTGGTTGGCCACAGAGGACTCCAGCACAATTAACCACCATATCACATGCTGGCTCCTGACATTTCTATTTTTAATTTTAAAATATTAGTTTTCTATTTTCCTGTATTCTATCCATGGCTTTAATGTACATTTTTTCAGTCTTGTTACTGTATATTAATTTTTAGTATTTTCTACCCTCTGACTACCTGTGTCTCAAACTTCTGTAACTGCCAAAACATTTAAATTACTCTCCTGGATTTTTCTGTTATCATTTATTAAATAGGTATATAAAAAATGCTATGGGAACCAGCAGATGGCATAATGGTTACGTTGCTGGACTCCCATGTAGTTGACCATGGTTCAAATCCTGGACCCAGTGGCTTAAAACTCATAGGGGCACATGTGCGTGCATGCCCCCAAAATCCTGACAGAAGAATGGAGGAGAAGGGATAACAGCATAAAGTCTCCAAAGAGACTTCTCTTACTAAATAGTCCTGTTCCTTGTTTGTTTGTTTGTTTGTTTTCTTATTGTATTGCTCATCAGAGAGATGGAGAAAGAGAGGGAGAAAGCACCTCCCAGCGCAGTGTGGTCACACTGCAGTCCTTCCCCTCCATTTCTCCATGCTGTGGGGATTTTGAGCACACAGGCACTTGCATCAGGGCCATCCCCTCGGGGGAGGGGGGTGATTTCTCACTTTCTGTCTCTCTGGCTAGTGCACGTGCCCTATAGCAAAAACCTGTCAAAAAATACTATAAAATAGAAATCAATAGAAAGTAAAATGTTAATGTCTAATACATATTTAATAATTAAGATGCAATTTAAAAAAGAGGTAAATAACCTTTAACTAGTATTCATCTTAATTTTACCCCTAAAGGAGTCTGACTTTTTATAAGATTAAAATTGCTGGCTTTTAAAAACATTTCTGTTGCTTCTTCATTACATTAACCATCAATACATTATATAGTAAATTTTTGTATGAAGAAAAACATTAAATGTTATTATTGTTATATTTATCATAAATGATATTGTTTTTATGCCAATAAAGTATAAAAGTAGTAAGTATTAAATATGGAATCAATATACTCATTGCTTGAATAGTCCTTATTTCTCTCATTTTTCCTTTGGAACCGAAGTTTAACCAGGAAAGCGATCAGTACACAGAGAACAAGGAAAAAAGGAATGAATAAGAAGAATGGCCATCTTGTAGGTTTGGGATAGTAAACACGCTGCTCAACGTAGCTCCCTCCTAGGAGAGAAAAACACCAGAGATTTGAAAGTAATCAGTGGGTAGACAGTAAAAATAGTTCCAAATTGTACTGTGACTATTAGAATAACAATTTTAAACCAAAACATAATTGTGTAAGTATACAAAATAGATAACACCATGCAGTATCCAAAGAGACTCTTTTACTAAATGGCCCTGTTCCTTGTTCTCTTTTCCTTTTTGTCCTTATTGTACTGCTCATCAGAGAGATGGAGAGAGAGGGAGAAGCACCTCCCAGCGCGGTGTGGTCATGCTGCAGCCCTTCTCCATTTCTCCATCCTGTGGGATTTTGAGCACACAGGCATTTTCGTGTGGCACGTTTTTCAAGTCACTGGGGTGAGATTCCAACCATGATTAGTCAGGTGGCATCTGGTTCCCTTAGCTACTAGGCTGCAAGCTGGCCCTCCCTTGCATTTTTAATCATAAACCTTCTATTCATGGAATTTTAGAATCATGTTCATTTCTGGGGCTGGACTGTGACACAGTATTGAAACAGGGCACTCTGTAAGGCAGACCCGCATGGGAGGGTTCCGGGTTCATGCCCAGAGACCACCCTGAGTATGTGCCCACATAAATGCACATGATTCTGAGTTGAAGTTTGGGGTAGACCAGATCATGGCATCAAGACAGCGTTGGGGTGCTGATCCTTTGTCTCTGTCTCTTGCACATGGAATCAATAATCGTAAAAAAATGTTAATTTCTAGGGGCCAGCAGGTACCAGAGTAGTTAAGGCCCTCGATCCCCACAAGGCCAACTACGATTTGAGTCCCGGACCTGGTGGCTTAAAAATCACACTGGGTACTTGTGTATGCATGCCCCAAATCCAAAATCCTAGGAGGAGAACGGAGGAGACTGTGGCATGGCCATCCCTCTGGGGGTGATTTTTCACTTTCCTTCATTCTGTCTCTCTCTGGCAAGCACATATGCATGCCCAATGGCAAAAACCTAAAAAAGAAAGTGAATTTCTAAAAAGTTGTATGCTATTATGATTGATATCTTTTAATCTACAGATTTAAGTTAGAAACTTAATTGACAATTATAGATGTAATTCATTATAATCAGTCTATAATGTACATGATATATAATGTATAGTTTATGTACTTACTAATTAACCCATAATAAAGATGTATTAATACACATTAAGATGAATTGTAATATTTGACATTTAATTAATTTACTTAAACAATATAAATTATTTACTATTTGAATTAAAGTATTTATAATTTAAATTTATAATATAAATTTTATAAAAGTATCATTTTAATTTGTGATTTAAATTTATGATTTAAATGAATTAACCTAGTCAATTATTTGAATAACTGAACATTGAATTACTTATAATACAGTAATTGTTATACAGAATATAGATTATAAAAATTTAAGTTACTCTTCCTTATAGAGTAATTAAATCATAGATTCTTTTTGGTGAGAATTAAAATTTTGGTAATGATGACTCTTTCAACAGGTGAATATGGCCCCTCTGTCTCTACTTACTTGGATGTTTAATGTCTATCTGCACTTTTACTGTAGTTTTCAACAAAAACGTTGTATATATTTTGTTAAATTTCATCTGAGTATTTAAATTTTAATAGTATCATAAATAATATTAATTTTAGGTTGACTGGTATTTATTGTTTGTATTATGCAGCAATAAAATTGATTTTCGAATATTGATTTTTATCTGTTGATTCTTTCAGAAGTTACTTAGTTTTAGAAATGCTTTTTGTAGCCTCCTTCGGATTTTCTGTGTAATTGATCCCCATCTTCTGCACATAAAGGCAGTCTCATTTTATCCTTTCCAATCTTTTTGCCCCTTTTCTTAATACACGGGCTCGGACGTACAGTAAATGTGAAAGGAACATGGTGAGAACGGACTCTTTCAGTTTGCTGTAGGGCGCATGCACTTCTCTGAGAGAGGAAGAGAGAGAACAGGACAGCGAGGAATCTCTCCAGGGAGATATCCACACCACAATCCTTCTCCCTCATCTCCTCATCTCAGGATCTGAGGCATGCACACGTGTGCCTGGCATGTTTTTCAAGCTGCTAGTTCCAGAACTTGAACCATGTAGCCCACCAGTCACCTTAACCACTACACCACCAGCAGCTTCAAGACTATTTTCTCCGTTTTATGAGAAAATAAATGTATCTTAAGATATATTAGCTCCAAGATTGTTTGCTGATGTTCTTTTCAAACGAGGAAGTTGTGTTGGGAGACCACCCTGTGTGATGATGGCCCAGATCTGCTGGAAGGCACCTGGGGTGATCTGCACACTGAGTCCTCAAGCACAGGAGACACCCCGCTTTCCAGAGAAGCAAACCAAGTCCCACTGGGTTAATGTGTCCTATATAATATCTCTTGCATGCTAAGCTTTACGTTTCCAAGTAAATCTTAAACTTCCTTCTTAAAGATGTTCCTGCTTATGGAGAAAATTCGTTATTTGTATGTTTATCCTTTCCTGTCCACTGTACATTTACAGAATTTTCCATCGTAAATGTGTATGGCAAAGTTTACTGAGAAAAGGTCACCTATTTACTTCAAAGTACTACATTGTTTGTAATCTGATCTTCCACACAATAAATTCAGAGCACAAGAGAAGGCTTCGTCTGAGCTCCCTGGGATCCCCAGCCTCCTTCCCTCCTAAATTTAGACTATGAGTCTTTCTAGACGCATGCCCTTCTGTATCTCTGAGTCTGTGGCAAAGTTGTGGTCTGAGGTCTGCTGCTTTTCCTTTAAGATCATGAATGAGCATTCAATCTTGTGGAGTAAGTTCTCTGCTTCAAATGAGAAGATAGTCATTTAAAAAAACAATGTTGGTGAATAGCAGCAATTGACTTTTCAATGATAGGGCATTCTTGCATTCCCACATTAAAACCCCAGTGAGTCTGGATTACTGTCTTTTCAATCATTTAGATACATGCCATGAGCTAATTATTTTGTTGAAGATTTTTACATTTATGTTCATGAACCATATTATTTTGTGATTTTGTTGTTAATTTCTTTGTCTGAATTTGGCATCAAGACAGTATTTTTCTCATAGATTCAGTTGGTAGAGGCTTCCCACCACTGATTTTTAAGATGGTATTTCTTCCTTGCAAAAATTTGGTTCAGTTTACCTGTATAACCATCTGGGCCTATATTCTTTTCATTTTTGTTTGTTTGCTGATTTTTGTTGATAGTGTTTGTTCTTAATCATAAATCCAGAGATCCAAGAAGTTTTGGCTTTTGGCTTCTTGGTTTACCCTTTATCTTATAAATTCTCTTCCATAAAAAATAGCCATTTTCACATCTGATTAGCTGTATTGATCTGGTTTTCCCCTAGTTGACTTGGGTAACAAAGAGCATATAGATTGTTTTGCCCACTTCCTTTCTGATCTGATCTAATACCTTTAAAATACAGGCATTTTTGCATGCATCCAATAAAAAATACACTCCACTTAGTAAAAGCCACATTCCTACTGAATCCTGGTGAGGTGTCTATCAAATAGCTTATTTATAAATCTTCCCATAAACATTTAGACAGCTGGTTGTATAAGATGAAAGTTTTCTTAAAAGACATCAATTTAAGTTTTCTGAGGTTAAATGTTTGACAATTTTTATCTGATATAAAATTTTATGACTCAGTTACCTCAAATTTGGCCTTAGCCATTTCTTACATTAAGAAACTTTTGCAAGAAGAGACCTGGAAAGTGAGTTAGTTTTATTTTCAGGAAAACAAACAAAAATATCTAGTTTTCTCATGTTTTCCCCACATTTTCCTTTTTGTCAACTGGAAATACAAGTTCCATTTCTACATTAATACAGGTGGCGGTGACACCACTGTGCTGCATAATGAACGTTTCTGTTTCTCCAACTCCCACTAGAGTGTTTTTAAACTCTCCTTGCATTGCTTGCCAGTAGTCTTTCCAATACAATTTCCATGTGAACTAAGTCTTCAACAGTCTCCGAGAGGCCTTCGTATCTTCCATGCATCATCCAGTTCCAAAGAAAATATCATGTTTTAGTTCTTGCTATTGAAATACACTGTCTTGGCTATTGAATGCTTTTCTATCCTATATTGCTGTGTAAGAAATTACCTCAAACTTAGTAACTTAAAACAGCTATTTACTTCTGCACACAAATGTTTGAACTCTAAACTTGGGAGGGCTCCCTAGGTTGGTGGTATTTTGGTGTCTTAGTACAGTTAAATGTGATACGTTACCGATGATAGCCAAAATAATGAATGTGTCAGGAATAAGAGCTCCAAGAATAAATATTCCAGAAGACTCAGAAAGAATCTACAGAAAGACTGTGGGAGTCCCAGAGTGTCACTTCTCTCTTTATTACCAAATCAAACAAGTAAGGCCGACCTGGATTCTAGGAGAGATGTGGTCTCCATTGTTCATTGGGAAAATAGCATGTAGGTGCATAGACAAACATAACTGATCATAGCCAACTTGCAGTTAAGCTACAGAAAGTTCATTGCTACAGCTGAAATGGAAATAGCTTGAAAATACCTTCGCTTCTTATAATCCTAATATAACTTGCTAATTTCTTACTACATGGCATTAAGTACGGTATTTCCAAATACTGTAGTGAATGTGGAGATATTAGAATGATCTCTGACTCAGCTCTGGAAAAATAGACTCTAATTTTATAAATGTAATTGACCCTAAGCATTATTGAATATGCTGGTTAACTGCTCACTGCCTCTAAAATTTATCGCTGCCTTTCCTCGGCATTGATCCATATTGCAGAGAACTATGCTCCTCAAGCTTCTTGATCTGTTGTCTTCTAGTTAGGTTTGGTAGATGGGAGTCACTGGATAGAAGCTGGGGAATTAGAAGAGAGAAATAGCTATGGTGTCTCTCCCTCTTCCTCTTCAGAATCACCAACAGTAGCTGTGTATCACTCCGGCTCTAAGAAAAGGGGATAGTTTCCTATTGTTGATAATACCTGGGCTTCTCCACCATTCTCTGATTGGCTGTCCATCTCTGCCTTTACGTGTTACCTGAACCTTTTATTCAGTTCTTCCTTCTGTTTAAAGGACTGGAGTGACTTCTTTTTTCCATATGAACTCTGACTGATATGTATCTATGACATATTGCGTATATTACTCTCTGGAAGTAAAAGATAAATAGCCATATGTGGTGGAATATTTACGGTCCCATATAGTCCACATATAAATTAATTGATAAGGTATTGTTTATTAGATTTCATAAACTAAAATGATATTATAATTTATTCCTCATACTTACTACTGTCAGGTGCCTGTGCAAGTTGGGATTGATAGTTCCCACTGTCAATACTCCCACCGGGCCAGTTATTTTTCATAGTTTGGCAATCTGGAGGCAAATATGGAGCGTCACAGTGGCAGTTTTTCTTGTTATTGCACACCTGAAAGCAGAACAAATATCAGCTTCTAAGATAAGCAGCCAGAATTATATATGTTCAAGTGGAGTTATAAATTATACAATTATAAAATTATACACTATGTGGTTTGTGGATATAAGAGTGTGTTTGCATGTGTGTGTATGTGCGTGTGCATTTGCTTTTCTGAGATTAGTCTCAATTAACTTCTATTCTTACCTCATAAGACTGATACTTACACCCTGTTGATGGCATTTTTGTGGAGTACAATCAAAACCCAAATATGAAGAACTCACACATGCATGATCCTTGCAAACCTAAAGAGGACAATTCAAAATAAATGAACTGGTATGTCATTGTCTAGTGTAGAATTAGGTCAAACATGATGAAGGTATTCCATGCAACTAAGAAGCAAAAGGAGATAGGAATGGCTATAAGAAAATGACAAAATATGCTTTAAATCAAATATTACTACAAAAGACAAAGGCAGTTTTTCTGTATTTATAAAAGGTCAATTCATCAAAGAAACATAATGAATTGATAAAAATGTGGCATAAAAGTGCAATGGAGGGGCTGGCAGGTGACATGGTGGTTAAGGGTGCTGGATTCCTACATGGCCGACAGCAGTTCAACTGGCGACTTGCTTTCTCACTTTCCTTCTCTCTCTCTCTCTCTCTCATTCTCTGTCTCTCTCTGGTTAAATTAAAATAAGCAAATAAAGTTAAATAAAATAATTCCTTTTAATGCAGTGGAATGGAATTATTATTCAACCTTAAGAAGGAAATAAATGCTGATAGATGCTACAACATTGACAAACCTTGAAAGAATTAAGCTAAGTAAAATAAGCCAGACTCAAGAGAACAATTGTTACATGGTTCCACTTACAGGAGATACCTAGAATATTTAAATTCATAGGGACAGAAAGTACAATAAAGAATAAGTACAAATAATGGCTCCCCAGTGACCTGGCCCCACTGAAGACTGTGTGGAGCCATTATTTAAGGGCTAGCTTCTATTTGGAATAAGGAACATTTCGTTAAGTTGTGTAGCAGTGATGACTGTACAGCAATGTAAGTGAACTAATGTTCCCAAACCATACACTTAAACACAAGTAAAGTGGTAAATTTTATACGATGCATATACGATAATGAAAACATATTCAGTATGTCATATTCAGTGCTTTAGAGACTAAGAGGTAAAATCATTAAGTTCATGCTATCGTAGTACATATTTTTATACATGTCAGCCATATCTTGAAAAGTAGTATATGATCCATTTGCAATAGTGTGCACTCATTAGTGCTGCTACTTGGCAGGCTGAGGCCACAGTTTGGTTACAGCCTACCCCGAAAAGCCAGGCATGGTAGCACATGTTTATACTCCCAGGTACCTGGGAGGCTGAGGCACGAGGACTGCCAAGTAGAGAGACCCTGTCTTAGAAAAACAAAACCTAAAAACAAAAACAAAACAAAAGAAGCAAAACCCACGTCGCACATTGAACTATGTAGTGTGGGAGGAAAACATGGACTGAGCACAATGAATTTTCTTTCCACGACTGGTAGGAAGGGCAGTAAAGCAGACCACGTATTTATGTATTTATTTAGCTAGAAAGTATATGTGCTCACCAGAGAAAGACAGGGAGAGAAGAAAGTACCCTCCCCCATTGGAATTGGTCAAACTGCAATCCCTTCTCTTCCATCTCTCGCTCTCCTTTTGGGATTTTAGGCAAGTACACACATGTGCCCAGCATGTTTCTCAAAGAGTGGGTGCCAGGACGCAAATGATGCTGTCCTTATATGGGTTCCGCCTGTCTAAAACACCAGGCCAAAGAGCCAGCCCAAAGACCATTAAACACACTCAGTGAAGGAATGAACAGAATAGAGAACCCAGAAATAAATCTATGTGGTGAATTAATTTCAGACAAGCTTACCAAGAAGACACAATGAGGAAAAGATAGTTTATTAAATAAATGGTATTTGAAACATTGTTGATCCAAATGCAAAATCGTCAAACTGGACCCTTATCATTATACCCCCAAATCAACTCAAAATAGATTAAGGACCTAAACATAGACCTGAAACTATAAAATTCCAAAAAGAAAACTCAGGGTGAGAGCTCTTGAATATTGGCCTTGGCAATAATAATTTTTTTAAAAAACTCAAACCATTATTTAAGGGCTAGCTTCTATTTGGAATAAGGAACATTTCGTTAAGTTGTGTAGCAGTGATGACTGTACAGCAATGTAAGTGAACTAATGTTCCCAAACCATACACTTAAACACAAGTAAAGTGGTAAATTTTATACGATGCATATACGATAATGAAAACATATTCAGTATGTCATATTCAGTGCTTTAGAGACTAAGAGGTAAAATCATTAAGTTCATGCTATCGTAGTACATATTTTTATACATGTCAGCCATATCTTGAAAAGTAGTATATGATCCATTTGCAATAGTGTGCACTCATTAGTGCTGCTACTTGGCAGGCTGAGGCCACAGTTTGGTTACAGCCTACCCCGAAAAGCCAGGCATGGTAGCACATGTTTATACTCCCAGGTACCTGGGAGGCTGAGGCACGAGGACTGCCAAGTAGAGAGACCCTGTCTTAGAAAAACAAAACCTAAAAACAAAAACAAAACAAAAGAAGCAAAACCCACGTCGCACATTGAACTATGTAGTGTGGGAGGAAAACATGGACTGAGCACAATGAATTTTCTTTCCACGACTGGTAGGAAGGGCAGTAAAGCAGACCACGTATTTATGTATTTATTTAGCTAGAAAGTATATGTGCTCACCAGAGAAAGACAGGGAGAGAAGAAAGTACCCTCCCCCATTGGAATTGGTCAAACTGCAATCCCTTCTCTTCCATCTCTCGCTCTCCTTTTGGGATTTTAGGCAAGTACACACATGTGCCCAGCATGTTTCTCAAAGAGTGGGTGCCAGGACGCAAATGATGCTGTCCTTATATGGGTTCCGCCTGTCTAAAACACCAGGCCAAAGAGCCAGCCCAAAGACCATTAAACACACTCAGTGAAGGAATGAACAGAATAGAGAACCCAGAAATAAATCTATGTGGTGAATTAATTTCAGACAAGCTTACCAAGAAGACACAATGAGGAAAAGATAGTTTATTAAATAAATGGTATTTGAAACATTGTTGATCCAAATGCAAAATCGTCAAACTGGACCCTTATCATTATACCCCCAAATCAACTCAAAATAGATTAAGGACCTAAACATAGACCTGAAACTATAAAATTCCAAAAAGAAAACTCAGGGTGAGAGCTCTTGAATATTGGCCTTGGCAATAATAATTTTTTTAAAAAACTCAAACCAAAAACACAGGCAACAAAAGCAAAAATAAGCAAGGAGGAGGAGACTATCAAACTAAAACCTCTTCATAGTAAAGGCAAAAATAAGTGAAATAAAAAGGCAGTGTAGAAATTTGGGGAAAAATAAAAGTATTGGCAGTCATATAGTTAAGAAGGGGGTAAGGCCCAAAATATAAAAGGGACTCATACAAATCAACAGTAAAAGAAGAAAATCTGAGTAAAAAATGTTTATATCTTTTTAGGTAACCAACCTCAGTAGTACTAGATAGCCAATGAAACACTCATGGTGTTGTCATAATTACAGGTGATATTTTACTCTTTGAAGTTTTTCCCTTATTTTTCAAATTTTCTATATTGAGTGTATATCTAATATGTGAGTATTCACACTCTATGACTGAAACTGATTGACTAAAGGATATAGAAACACAGTAAGTGGATGTGAATACCAGATACAGTGTGTGTGAAAGAGTAGAGTCTGAGGAAAGACATTTAGAAGAAAAATAGAGAGGCAAATTATTAATGGGACAAAGAAATGTGGTATTATCTGTTGAAGATACTTTTATAGTTTTATCAACTGGACTAGGGAGAAATGTTCACAGGTTGAAATATTCAGTTTGTAAGCTAAATAATGTGATTGAATGTAAAAGAGAAAATGAAATAAAAAACATATTAAAAAAAAAAGATGTGAGAGAAAATAATCGATTTGCATCATTGGAGAAGAGAGTATAAAATATTTGGAAGTTATTTGGGAAGAAAGGTTACCTTATTTGAACCACAAACAGTTCCTTCTTTTACCCACATCTTCGCATTTTCCTGATGATCATAGGGGTAGTCGATGGAAACGCAGATGTGTCCACTTATGTTGGCATAAATAGTAGTGGCATCTGGAATTTTGATTAATTCTTCACTGGTATAGATACATATCAGTTTTCCACAATTCACATCACTATAATTTGCCCATAAATGAAAAACCATTCATTTTAAAATAGTGAAATATTAGAATATCATTTATATTTTTGTTTTTAAAAATATTTTATGTATTTATTTTAAGTTGACCAGAGAGGGAGAGAGCGAGAGAGAAAGAGGGAAAGTGAGAAAGCAAGCTGTCAGTTCCGGGACTCTAACCACTGTCGACCATGTGGGAGTCCAGCACCCTCAACCACCACTGGCCCAACTACCTGCTGGCCTCCTAAGAATATAATTTCTAAAGTGAAAAGGTTCTAATAAAGTATTCAAAATCTACAAAAAGATGAACACAATTAATTCTGAAACATCAAAAAATATGAAGACCGTCCCTGACTGAGTTGTTAATAGTAGCTCAATAGTTTAATAAGTATGAACTACTTCCTACTTAGTCTGATTACATTTTTAGAAGTTTCTTAATTTTCTTAAGATTTTTTAATATTTCACATAATAAAATTTTATCTTATCCTAATGAAATTAGGAAATTTAGCTTGATACCAGACTTATTGAGTTCCCTTTTTAGCTTAGGCCTCAAATTGACAAGATATTTCAAGCTTCACTCAAGAATGATTATATTCAATAAATGTTAAAATAAATAACGGAGATATATCACAAAGATAGTGCCATAAGCCACAAAGGAAACCATAATCGTAATCAGAAAATCAAGAAGCATTAGCAATGCAAGAACAGTAACACAAGTGAAGATGGCCTTTCCAACAGGAAAAGATGGTAACCATAAGACAATTGAATGACATTGTCAAAGGGGAAATGACACACTTGCCATTTCTCACTCTAGGTACAGAAAAATATCCTTCAAAATAACATGGCACTATTGGCAGGCAATAGTTAAGAATATTTATCATCAGCGATCCTGGAATAGAGAAAATGTAAACTGAGTTTTTCACACTACAGAGGTATTTAGATGGAATTTCGTAACAGGGCGAAGGACATACAGAGATTTATATAAGTGGATAGATAAAAAGCATGTGAGACCTGTACATGCACGTTGTAGATACATTTCCTAGCTCTGCTGACTGAGAGGGCTTAGAGGTAATGAAAGCCAGTAGGAGTGAGTGTAGCCGGTCCCCAGTCACCTATTTTCTAAGTACGACCCCTGTTAAAATGAACCAGGGCTCCTTGGACAAGTGGGTAAATCCAGGCATGAGAAGTGGAGATATCACAACGGCCTATGATACATTTTCAGTGCTTTGAAAGAGTCATACAGATTCTTGCAGAAAATACAGTAATCAACTCAAAGAGGTCCTCTCTAGTCAAAATAGAGACCATTTGAGAACGTATCTAAATAAAAATAGTAAAGTATTCTATTTTACAGAATAAAATAATTTCTGGCACAAATATTCTATGGAATACTACTCAGCCATAAAAAAACAACAGCCTGGGTTTTGACAGGAAGCAGATGAATATAGATTTACTACTGAGGGAAGCAAGCCAGGCTATGAAGGAGAGGCATTGTATGTCCCCACTTAATATATACCAAGTGTTCACACTCTATGGCCAACACTGAATGACTAAAGGATATAGAAACACAGTAAAAGGTTGTGAATACCAGATATAGTGTGGGAAGAAGGCGGGTGAAGGAGTAGAGTCTGAGGGAGTACATAAGGAGAAAAATAGAGAGGAAAAGTATTAATGGGACAAAAAGTGGGGTGTTATCTCTTGAAGATAATTTTATAGTAATATTAACTGGACTGGTGAGAAATGTACACATGTTGGAATATTCACTTTGCAAGCTAAGTAACGTGATCGAATGTATAAAAGAACTTGAAATAAAATAACAACTACTGAGTCTGGATTCCTGAATTGATGTATATAATACACAGATAATTAAATAAATAAATAGAAAAAAAGGAATACTTTTTTCAACAGTACATTTCTAGCTAATTAAGGAAAAGTCAATCGTGGAGTAGGAAAATTATCAATAGATTTTTTAAAAATTTTTTAAGAGAGATTGTTTTTTGCTATAGGGCGTGTGTACTTGCCAAAGAGAGACAGAGAGACAGAAAATGAGAAAACACCCCCCAGGGGGGTATGGCCATGCCACAATCCCTTTTCCTCCTCCATTCTCCTCTCAGAATTTTGGGCACGTATGCACATGGGCCTAGGTTGGGAACTCAAACGGCAGTTGACCATGTGAGAGTCCAGCAGCATGACCATTATGCCATCCGCTGGTCTCACTCATCATCAATGGATTTTAAAACTAATATGTGGAAGTTTGTCTATGGTAGAGACTGAAAGATTGGAGGACATAAAGGTATTAAAAATTCTAATGGACACTAGAGACAAAATGGAAAGAGAGTGTGAGAGGGGAAGAGCATAGGGAATTTGGGGGGAAATGGAGAAGTAAGACACTTGTGGGACACAGATAAGGTTTATTATCTGTTGATGAGGATGTATGGTGGTCTCAACTGAACTGGACTGAGGTGTCTATCACGCTGGGTAAAGTCTCTTCACAATCTAATGATGTATAGCAATTTAATGTATGAATAATAATAATAAGACAAATAAAAAATTAAAAAACCCTAATATGTGGAAGTTTGAAGAGTAACAGAACAAGCCCACAGTCTCAGTATAGCTCCTTACTAGTTTCATATTATACACAATGGAAACATAATAAATTAACAGTTGAGAGACTTAAAGAACAATTAATTAACTAAAACATTTAACCTAAAATTTTCAAAACTGAAAGAAAATGGTATGAGCTTTTGAAAAATTGCACCTGAAGATCCAGCACCACAGTGGTGGTAAACAGATTAAAGTCATAACTCAAATATAAATATGAAAAATATCAAGACACTCAATTTGAGGGAAATGTCTACAAAATGATTAACCTATAGCATAAAAAAATAAATAGAGTAAAAACCTGGGTTGGCCAAATGATGTGGTGGTAAAGGCAGGGGGATCCCACATGGCCAACTCCATGGTTCAAGTCCAGGATCTGGTGGCATGAAAAAACACACTAGTTGTGTGTGCGTTTGTGTGCCAAAGTTCTGAAAGGGCTGCTGGGTAGCCATCTCCCTTTGGGGGTGATTTCTCACTTTCTCTTTCTCTGGTTCTCTCCAGTGAATGAACATGCCCTATAGCAAAAATCAATCAAACAAATAATATTAAGAAAAAGAAACAAAAAATGAAAATAATTTAAAAATCCATATAAAAAGAAGTGTAAGAACACATTATAAGCAAATGTAATATTTTGGGTGTGAATTTTTTCCTAAATGAGGAAATACTTTCTAAAAGAACCAAGAACTTTTATTTTTAAAGGTTTTTGTCATAGGGTGTGTACACTTATTTGAGAGAGACAGACGTAGGAGGAAAGGTGAGAAATCAACCCTCCTCCCCCCCAGGGGGCTGTCCATGCTGCAGTTCCTTCTCCACTCTACACTTGGGATTTTGGGCACATGCTCATGCACCTGGCATGATTTTCAATGTGCCATGTCTGAGACTTGAACCGTGGTCGACCATGTGGGAGTCCAGTGCCTTTACTGCCACATGACCTGCTGTCATACCAATGAAGTTTTAATATGATTTAGGTAATAACTGCAATATAGTTATGTAAGAAAATAAACTCTCAAAAAATGATGCCATGATATATTTAGGAGTAAAAGAAGCACAATCTCCAATTTACACTTAAGTGGTTCAGAAAAATATTTGTTGAGAGATTAGAGAAAGGAAAGAAGAGTTGGAAAAATGAAAGGTTAAGAGAAATGGGCAACATGTAAACAACTCAAATTTGGGCAAAAGGTATGTGGACATTTCGTATACAGTTTGTGTACACTAAATAATTGTACAGAATTTTTACTTTTACTTGAAAAATATCAAAATGAAACTACAATTAAAGATTTCATCTCAACATTCTGGTTCTAATTTATGTACTAATAACACTAGTTAAGAGTTCACACTAAGAGCACATACCGTATCAATACCACTCTACACGTTTCCCTGTCTTGCCTATTCACCCGGCACCAACCCAGTGATGTCAGTAGGGTTTGCCCATAAGAAACTAGCTGTACTTTTTTCTCATACTTCATACATGAGAAAAATGAAGTACATGCTCAAGGTCACATAAATAGGCCAGTGTGGGGTAAGGATTTGAAACTAAGATATCTGACTTTGGAATGCATGTTTTAAACAATGTGTTTTACATCCCAGAGAGTAAACAATCTATGTGTTTTGGGGACAGCAGGTGGTGTGGTGGTTAAGGGCACTGGACTCTCACATGGCCGACCGTGATATGAGTCCTGAACCTGGTGGCTTGCTTTCTTGCTTTCTCTCTCTCTCTCTCTCTCTGACTCTGTCCTTCTCTGGTCAAATTAAAATAAATAAATAAAGTTAAACAAAGCAATTCTTTTTTTTTTTTTAATCTATGTATCATTTCATTACCACAAGGATTGTAATCATTTGTAAAATTAAGGTGATAGCATGCAAAATTAAATAATTACTGATGGAGAATTCATGTGCTTATATGTAAATTAAACACTGTGGAAAGCATCAAGAATATTTTGGATATAAGAGGAAGAGAAATACAGACTTCTGCATCTAAGACAATCATAATTTGATCAAATGTGGTCTTACTTCATGGTCAGATATATTTTGCTTACATATAATCTTAATTATTTGTTGATAGTTTCAAACAGAAGTCAATAAATAGAGGTACTCCAATAGATTTCTTAAAGCATACCTAGGATTACACTTTTTGTAACCTGAAGCATCTGAACCACAGCTGCCAGATTGATCAGCCATAGAATTAAGGTAATTAAAACATTCTTCATTACCAAAATCTGCCTCTGGAAAAAAAAAATGTGCTTGTTATATTAAGTGAATATTAACTTAAAATCATTAATGAATACATTTAAATTTTTGAAGTGACTTAAACTATGTGATACAATTTATGACCATAATATAAAATTAAAAATAAAAACTTGGTTTAAGGGCACACAAAACTACTTCTATTAAATATTTTTAAACTGAGAGAATGCTGTCTACTGTCAAAACACGTAGCCTAGACAGAGCATCGAGTTAACCACTGTGTGCAGTTTAACTTCTAGTTTTAGTGTTACACAAATACACATTTCTATGGACATTGGAAACTTTTCTTTTTCTTTCTTTTTTTTTTTTTACAAATAATTCATTTATTGGTCAATAAACAATTTTTGCATGAGTAACCTTTTCAAATCAAACCAATAATTAAGTATCTTTATCATAATTTCCTCAGACCAAAAGGTCACCATCGATTTGTTTCTCATACTCACCTTCCAATCTCTCTCTCTCTATCATCTATCTATATCTATCTATCATCTATCTATCTATCTATCTATCTATCTATCTATCTATCTATCATCTATCTATCTATCTATCTATCATCTATCTATCTATCTACCTAGTTTAACTTTAATTCTCATAAGATCTATCCTACTTAAAGAGAACGTTTTTGATAAAGCACTCACCTACAGACCTACAAAACCCTTGGTTAGGGAGCTCTGACTGCTGCATTGTGATGCTGGGAGAAAAACAGCCCATGGTGAGAGGAGCCCCAGTGGACACAAAAGATTCTCAGCTGAAATCCCTTGAGACAGTGAGGAGCTGAAAATTACTGTGTAATTTTGCCTTATTTTGTTCAAGTAATTTACATAGCTAGTTATAGGTGAGAAGTCAAAATTTGCAGCTTGTCTAGGGCACCAAACTATGGCTAGGGGACAGAAAAAGAGGCCAGTTTGAAAATCTTTCATAGCTTCAGTGATCAAATTAGAGACTCAAAGGCCCTCAACATATGATTGATCCCTTCCTCAGTACATTTTTAGCTAATTAGGCTTTTTCCTGATTTTAAACATATCAAGCAGAAAATAAAACATAAGAAAATGACTTTGATGAAGCAGAGAAAATTTTTCTGCATTTTCTGCGTTGTGGTTACATACCTACCACAGTAAAGGGTCTTGGTTAAAATTCCTGCAGAAGCAAAGGAGAACTAGATGTCGATTAAGCCTTACCTATACTTTAACCAATCAATGAGTATCAGTTTTTGATTTAGTTAAAGTAATTAGTCTCCCACTTCATATGCCTAAGAACAGCAACAAATAAAGATGGATGATAGTAATGTCTACGCAGCATTTAGACTGAAAGTGGCTTTTCAAAGGTAATGAGTAAAGATAAAAGATAGTGAAAAAGTTTTCCACTAGAAATATGTCTCTAAAATATTCAAAAACAAATATAATGTAAAGATATCTACATGCTACACTATGGATGAACCTTGAAATGTTTAAGATAAATGCAATAAGGCAATCACAAAAGGATCAATATTATATGATGTTTTTTAGAAGTTTTTGCCTTAGGGTGTGTGTGCTCACTGGAGAGAAAGCGAGAGAGAGAGAGAGAGACAGAGACAGAGATAGTAAGAGGGAAAGTGAGAAATCATCTCCTCCCCACACCCAGCGGGGACAGCCATGCCACAATCACTTTTCCTCTATTCTCCTTCCTGGATCTGGGGCAAGTATGCACACGTGCCCAACATAATTTTGAAGCCACTGGGTCTGGGACTAGAACCATGGTTAGCCGTGTGAGAGTTCAGCGACATAACTTCTACACCATCTGCTGGTCCCAGTATTGTATGCTTCTTGCATGGAATAACTACAGGAGTCACTTTTACGGAGACAGAAAGAAAGGTTGCCAGAGGATGGGAGAAGGAAAAAAATGATAGTTATTGCTTAATAGATACATAACTTCAGTGTGGGGAACTGCAGAAGTACTGGAGATGGCTGATGGGGATGTTTTCCACTAATAAGGAGAATGTACCTGGTGCCACGTAGTAACTGTAGACTTAACGATCTTTAAAATAGCAAATTTGTTGTTATGTATATAGTATCACAGTAAACATAAGATGAAACTCAAGTATATAACAACAAACCTCAACTAGCAACATTCAAAAAAAAGTAAGCTGTGACCAATTGAGATGTTATTCAGAAAAGTAAGGTTTATGAAACAAAGAAGTGAAGGGTAACATACCATATAAGCAAAACAAAAGACCAAGCCGCACAGATCATTTTAATAGGCAGAGAAGACGTCCCTTTTGAAAAACCTCACTTTTCTTTATTAAAAAATAGGCCAAAAAAATTAAACAAAGTGGAGGATATAAGAGCATTTCCCTGAGACCAGCAGTTGGCGTAATGGCTATGTCGCTGAACTCCCATGTAGTCAACTGTGGTTCGAGTCCCAGACCCGGTGGCTTAAACTCACACCGACGTGTGTGCATGCGTGCCCAAGATCCTGAGAGAAGAATGGAGAAGGGATTGTGGCGTTTCTTGTTTTCTGGCGAGCGCATGTGCCCTATAGCAAAAACCTAAAAAAAAAAGAAAAAAAAAAAAAAAGCATTCCCCTAACCTAATTAAAGGAACCTATGAAAAACTGTAGATAACACTTAGTAGTAAAAAAGCTGTAGATAACACTTAGTAGTAAAAAACACTTAGTAGTAAAAAAAACTGTAGATAGCACTTAGTAGTAAAAAAGCTCAATGCTTAACTTCTAAGGTAAAGAGTAAGTCAGAGTGTTTGCTGTGGATCCTTTTATTCAATGCTGTACTGCAAGAATCAGATAGGGAAATAGTCAAGAAGAAGAAATACAAGGCATCCAGGTTGTAAACTTAAAAGTAAAAATACATCTATGTTTACATGGTGTAAGAATAAAATTAAAATATGCCTATCCTGTTTTGTAAAGATAAAGCCTAACCTTTGCCTTTTTGGCTTCTGTACTAAAGCTGATGCTGCTCTCATTATAAACTGACTGCTGAAGTTGTGGAAGCCCGGGGCCATTCCCTAGCTCCCTGTGAGAAGTGGGAGCCATTTGCAAGTCAGCTTAGCACCTTGCAGAAAGCCCCTTATCTTACTTCCTCATTCTTCCCAGGGACTTGTGTCTATATAACATGAATGCCCCTTTGTTCGGGGCTTCACTCCATCGTGTCTTGCATGACCTGCATGACCGAGAGTGAAGTCCTAGAAGTCCTAGCGCACTTGCACTTTGCATCAAGAACCGACTTTTGTGGTTGATTGGGGTCGCCATCGCACTCCCTGGACAAGGAGGATCGGCCGGTTATCGGCAAAAACCTTTCAATGGCACTGTCTGATATAAAGATTAGAAATCCTAAAGAGTGTAGGAGGAGAAGAGTGTAGAAAAGGAGTTGGAGAAAAAATTAGAGAGGTAAGACATTTGTGGGACACGGATATGGTTTATTATCTGTGGATGGGGACGTGTATAGTCTTCTCAGTTGGGCTGGACTGAGATGTAGATCATGCTGGGTAAAGTCTCTTTACAATCTAAATGATGTATAGTCATTAAATGTATAAATAATAAAACATTAAAATTAAAATAAAAAAAGAAACCCTAAAGACCTATTAAAAATAGCTACTAGAACTCATGAAGGAGGTCAGCAAGGCCGCATAAGATATCAACATTGATAATCAAGTGCTGTCTATGTACTGACAATGACCAATCCAAAAGGAGAGTAAGAAAAAAAAATAACCAAACAATAGTACCATCAAAAAGAATACAGGACACAGAAAGCAATTTAGTAAAAGAAGGGTGAGACTTATCCACTAATAATTAGAATACAGAAAATATTTGATTAAAATGAATGGAATGGATTTGAATGACTGGAAAGACAACTTTTCTGCACAGCCTGGAAGCACGCTATTTTACCTCAAACTAAAATACAAGTTCAGCGCAACTGCTACCAAAATTTCAGTTTATACTTTTTGAAGATAGTGCCAAGCTGACCTTAGAACTTGTCAAGTGCAAGAAACCAGAGTAACCAAAATAATACGGAAAAGAAGAAAAGAATTGAATTATGTAATTTCTCCTGATTTCAAAATATACAACAAATAAAGCCTAAAGTTCATATCAAATTTAAGACTAAATAATACCTTCTCACTAAAACCACACCTAAGAAAATGCCTACCATTTTCATTTCAACTCAATATTATACTGTAATTGTAGAAAATGTCATAAAGAAGACATAGACCTAGAGTTAACTGAAGGTAAAGAACAGGGCTCCACCCACGGCCTGGTGGTTAAGGTAACTGGATTTCACACAGTCAATGCTATGGTTTGAGGCCAAGATGAAACAGCTCGAGAAACATGCTGGGCACATGTGCATGACCCCAGATCCTAAAACAGAAGGGCGGAAATTGTGATGTGCCCATTCCCCACAGTGGTCCTTTCTCACTCTCCCTCTGTCTGTCTCTGGTGAGTACACACACCCTCTGGCAAATTTACAGAAATAATTTTTCAGTGTGACTCAATGTATACCTATTAACAATTGCTAATAAAAACATGTATGGGTTGGTTCTGCAGTCTAGTGATTAAGGGAACCAGATCCCACATAGCCAACTGTGTTTTGAATCCCGGACCACGTGGTTTGAAAAATCATGCTGGGTGTGTATGTGTGTCTGTGTCACGCGTGTGCTCCAAATCCCTACAGAGTAAGAAATGGAGGCGGGGCGTGGTGGCGCCCGCCCTGCGGCAGAGTAAGAAATGGAGGCGAAGGGGTTTTGGAGTGTTCAGGTCTCATTCCACAGCACGTATTCCCTCTCTGTCTCCTTGTCTCCTCCAGATCACAATATTGGTATTTAGTAGTTAATCATACATTTTATTATGATTATTTTCCAACAAAAATGGTCCTTTAAATTTGCCTATGTTTTAGTATATCTGGTTAAGTTTTTTTAATACATTCTACTGGGATTTTCAAAATTTTTTTGACTTTTAGAGGAACTCAGCAGATATTAAACTTTTCCATTCATGTTTCCAAGATCTTTCTTGACTATTTCAGATACATTTTTTAAAAGTCACAATCATATATCAATAATATGTTTGTTTTTCATGTCCAGAAAAATACACATATGAGAAATAAAATGTGATAAATACCTCCACCAAATAAATCCGAACATTGATTGATTCCACTAATGCACTGGCCTTCCAAACAGATCCATTGATTCTGTCCACATGAATGCCCATTCTGAACAAAGAAATCTTCTTGGCATAATTCGGAGCTCCCATTGCAATACTCAGGGAGATCGCATTCATTAGAGGAACTCCTACACTCACGTCCTTTGGCTTGAAACTGACAGGGTTAAGGTAAATGACAATGAATATCCGGAGCATTATATGAGCATTATAATGAATGATAATTTGTGTTTTAGTTTTTTTTTTTTTTTTTTTTGTCATAGGATGCATGCTCTCAACGAGAGAGAGAGGGAGAGAGAGAGAGAGATCATCCACGGGGAATGGCCATGCTGCAATCCCTCCTCCTCCATTCTCCTTTTCGGATTCTGGCCACACATGCACATGCACCCGGTGTGATTTTCAAGCCACCAGGTCCAGGACTCAAGCTACAGGTGGCCATGTGGGAGTCCAGTGCCTTAACCACCACACCACCTGCTGGCCTTAGTAAAACAGACATTTTTAAAAAGCTCTTACTTGACAATTTTCACAGCATAACCCTGTGGCACAAGTGGAACCTGCTGAGAGCTGACAGGTGGCAGCAGTGCAGCATGCTGGCTGGGTAACAGCGCATTCCTAAAGGCAAGGTTTTATTTGCATCAGATACACGTTTTAGGCATAGTAACATACATAGTGCACAGACAGATGCTTAGATCACATATTGGCAAACAATGTATAAAAAGCCACTTCTAGATTTATTCACTATTTATTGATGGCCTACTAAGTGCAAGAATGTGTTTTTATATTTATCCATTTATTTTTATGTGCCATTTTATGCTACAATGTATCTATGCCTGTTGACTCTTTTTTTTCAATTTCTATTACGAGGGCTAATAAAAGTAACAGATAAGACAGAAGTCTGGAGACACAAAAAAAAAACACACTTCTTGGGATTTGTAATAGAGTTAATAGAAAAAAACATACTGAAATCATAGATTTCAGTAGTTTTCATAGGTGTTGTAACAAAATACTCAATAGGATAGACTAATTTTTTAGTTATTTTTCACAGATATTCTGTGCAGTGTCACTGCACTTGCTAAATATGTGGAATTCCATGGGGAAATGTTGTATTATGGTAGTTTTGGACGCAATGATATGATATTTAGTGGAGCTAAGACACTATTGCCAAATTTTACTGGAAATGTTCAAACCTAACCCAGCACAAAGGAGTGGATGATGGGGAATAATTTCAAACCACATTCACCATTTAGGTTATCTAGAAACATACTTTCCATGTTGAAAAGAGCACCCAGGAGTGACCCCAGCCACTGCAGTAGGGAACACCGAACGCCATTCACGTCAGTGTGATTCCCTTAGGCCTGTGCCACCGACTAACTTACCACGTATCTCCCAACGTCTCGCTCATCTCTGTGGCTTGGGAAAACTAGCCATGCTTGATCAAGCATGTCTCATCTTTTTGACTTAAAAATTAACCTAGATTAAAATATTCAAAAACCACAAATATGCCTTCTTTAAAAAAATTTTTTTTGGTCCTGTAGTGAAAGATTTGCTTCTATTTTCTGACAGGATTTTTACAGTTAAAGGAAATACTAGGGAAGAATATACTCTAGAGAAAGAAAATCAACCTCAGTCAATTCAGTTACAGGATTTAATGACCTTGGCCGCTACCTGTATGAAAGATAAGAATAATGGTTATCAGGCACTGTGGGGAGAGGAAAATGCAGAGGTAAGGGGTAAAAAGTTTCAAGTATTCAAGATGAATATCTTCTGGATATCTAGTGTATAACAATGTCATCATATTTAACAATATTTTATTATTGACTTGAAATTGGCTATGAAATTTTCCTTTCCTGGTTGTCACCGGGAAGGAAAAAAAAGCAAAGGACAACTTTGAGAGGCTATAAAAATGTTAATTAGCTTGGGACCAGCAGTTAGCGTAATGACTTTGTCGCTGAACTCTTATGTAGCGGACTGCAGTTCGAGTCCTGGACCCGGTGGGTTAAACTCATGCCAGGCACATGTGCATGTGTGCCCAAGATCCCAAGAGGAGAATGGAGGAGAAGGGATTGTGGTATGGCTACTCCTCTGGGCGGGGGGTGATTTCTTGCTTCCTATCTTTCTGTCTCTGTCTTTCTGACAAGCTCATGTGCCCTATAGCAAAAACCTCTCCCTCCCCCCCCAAAAAAATATATTAATTAGCTTGATTGTGGAGACTATTTCAAAAACCATTAAATTGTACACATTTACAATTATTTTTTCGTTTGCTAGAGGATGTATGTACTCGCTGGGAGAAACAGAGAGACAGAAAGAGAAGGAGAGGAAGAAGTACCCCCCCTTCAGGATGGTCACACCACAACCCCTTTTCTGTCTCTATCTCCTTTCAGGATTTGGGGGCTCACATGGAAACACACTTGGAGTGTTTCTCAAACTGCCAGGTCCAGGGCTCCCACCACATGGTCAACCATGGGATCCAGCTGCCTTAATCACCAGGCCATGGAGCTGTTCCAAACATATTCAATTTTAATTCTAACTTTGCCTCAACGAAGCCAGACTAAAAAAAACAAATAAATATCTACAACTTACTGAATCTATACATGAAGGGTCTTCAAAAATTAATGAAAACTAAAATTAAGTACGAGTTTCTTACAGTGGAAAAAATGTTTTGAATCCATGCATACTTTTGCATAATGTGCCTTTCCACGAACTTTTTGAAGGTCCTTTAAATCAACATGTACGTGCGCTCATTCGTTATACTCCTCATGTGCCTTTCTAAGGTCTTTGTCAGAAAGGGAGTTTGATCAATGAACAAAACTGCCAGGGTGAGTCTGTCAAGCATAATGGGTACCAACCTCTTCAGATCCACAGTCGCATTTTTCTCCTTCTTCCACTATGCCGTTACCACAAACTGCCGCCTTGTAAGATGGAACTAGGTGTGGCTGATTCTGAAGACAATGGGACTTCTGCTTTGAAATAAAATACACAAAATCTTCCATGCTGCAGTTACTGAAGCTCTTCACACCACTGGAATGACTGAAAATACATCAAACTTCAAATTTGTATGTAAGAGTTTCCATAAACTGCCTGCCCTTAGAATAAAGCTGTCTACTAGCATTCTCCAAGAGAGGAAATGCTCAATATTGTTGGCCTGAAATTTCTCTGGGCACGGGAAGCCAAGTGTGCAGGCGTTTATGCTAAACACCTTGGTAGGCGTAGTTATTAATGAGGTCGTGGTGGCTCTGGGAACACTTGTCCGCGTTGCTGCCCTTTTATTCTAATGCCTACCTTACAAAACTCCATATGTTTTATTTCTGGCTCCTTGTTCCTTTTATGACTCTTAAATTTTGGAATAATTCTGTATTAACAAACAAAATAAAACAGAACAAAACCCAGGCTTTTCCTTTCTTTATATTATTCATAGAAAAATTGTCGAGTTTTGTAGTTTTAAATAACACCTACGTCTGACAGCTTAGGTATTCTCTCTCTAACTCAAGCATGTCACCTAAACCCCAGAGTCCAGTATCCTATTCTTTCTATAGTATTCCTTCCTGAGCCGATGTCATAGGTACCTTACATTTATTTTATTTTGTTTTGTTTTTATTTTTTTAATTTGCCAGATGGTACATGTGTTTGCCAGAGACAGATGGGGGAGAAGAGAGGGCAGTGGGGATAGCCACGTCTCAATCTCTTCTCCTACGTTTTCCCATCCTCTCAGGATTTGGGGCATATACAAGCATGTACCTGGTGTTTCCCAAGCCACTGGGGTCAGGATTCAAACTGTATAGTCCACCATATGAGATCTGGCTGCCTTAACCACTAGGCTCTGGGGTTGGCCCAGCAATAGAGTATTTTTAAATTAAGTATATACATTGTTTTTTCAGTCATAATACTATTGCAATTTAATAGTCTATAGTATAATAAAAATAAAACTTTTATATTCTCTGGAAAGACAAAAAAATGCATGAGTCACTTTCCTGCAATATTTGTTTTATTGTGGTAGTCTGGAAGTGAACCTGTAATATCTCTGAAGTATGACTGTGCTAACCGTAAATAATTCATTTGTTATAAATTTCCAGCAACTGTGATAATTTCTATCTTACTACTAGAAACCAAAAGATGAAAAAGTAATAAAGTGTATATATTACTGAAAACCAGGTAATACAAGATATTTTTACAATTTGTGGGACCAGCAGTTAGCGTAATGGCTATGTTGCTGGACTCCCATGTAGTCAACCGCCATATGAGATCTGGCTGCCTTAACCACTAGGCTCTGGGGTTGGCCCAGCAATAGAGTATTTTTAAATTAAGTATATACATTGTTTTTTCAGTCATAATACTATTGCAATTTAATAGTCTATAGTATAATAAAAATAAAACTTTTATATTCTCTGGAAAGACAAAAAAATGCATGAGTCACTTTCCTGCAATATTTGTTTTATTGTGGTAGTCTGGAAGTGAACCTGTAATATCTCTGAAGTATGACTGTGCTAACCGTAAATAATTCATTTGTTATAAATTTCCAGCAACTGTGATAATTTCTATCTTACTACTAGAAACCAAAAGATGAAAAAGTAATAAAGTGTATATATTACTGAAAACCAGGTAATACAAGATATTTTTACAATTTGTGGGACCAGCAGTTAGCGTAATGGCTATGTTGCTGGACTCCCATGTAGTCAACCGTGGTTCGTGTCCCAGACCTGGTGACTTAAAAGAAAAGATATGTTTACCATTTGTGAACTGGTTTGTAGGAGGTAAATCCTCTGGTATTGAAGTTAACATAGTCATTAAGAAGTAAAATTTCAAACATAATTATATCCAATTTAGAAATTTATTTGTAGATTGAACGTTCTTCATGCAAATTTGATGAATTATCCTATTCTCCATTCTCTGCAAGAATATAAAACTATGGTCCAATATTCTTGATGAATACAGCTCCTTAAATTCTCAAAAAATTTTAGCAAACTAATCCAGTAGCATCTGACAAGATCATCACCATGGTCAAATGGGATTTACTCTAGGCATTCAAGAACAATTCAACGTATGAAAATCAATAAATGCAATCCACCAAATCAATAGAATGAGGAACAAAAACCATATGATTGTCTCAGACACAGAAAAAGCTCTTGATAAAATAAAATACCCTTTTGTGATAAAAATTCTTAACAAATTAGTCACAGAAGGCACATATCTCAACACAATAAAATCCACATGCAAATCCATAGCTAAAATCATACAGAAAGAGGAAAG